GCTGTTCCTGCTGGCCATTCTCCCATGATCTGAAGAGCTCAGCCTCTCACCCACACTCCATACTGTACCTCATATACCACTGTTCAGCAGGTTTGGACACAGCTTGTGAATATGACAGAATATTTGATACTGCAAATATCCTGGAAGCCCCTAGGTGGAGAATCTGTAGTGATCATTATTTATCAGAATAAGCTAGTGTAATTCTACTGTAGAAGGGATTACTATGGATTTTAATGATTAACGTTTAGTGTCTGTGATGACTAATCTTGTTTGTCAATTTGACTGGCTTGAGAGATGCCCAGTAAATTAGTAAAGCATACCTCTGGGTGTGTCTGGCTAGGACATGCAGGCATCCATTGGGGACTGTATTTGGTCCATGGAATCTTTTCTTTTCATACAACTTTAACAAGAAATCTATCTTATTTTTGCTTCCTTTTGAAAATTTCATGGAAATGTGACTTTGCATTATTGTTAAACATATGTATCACTTGTACTGCTATAGCCTTATTTGGGTGATACGTGTCTACAAAATTTTGCAGTTTCTCACATTTTACACATTTCCCTAATCTCATTTGAAGTGATGGATTGCTCTTTTCTCCTCCTAGGCATATGAGATGAGATTCTCCTCCATAACCTCTCGCTGTTGGGAGATGGTCACTCATAACTGCGGGGAGGTGGGGTGAATATGGAGGGAGGGAAGAGAACCATTGGCTTAGTTGTGATCATGTGATCTGGGAAAAGCCAATGAGTGAGATAATGGAGGGGGACGAATTCAGAAAGTAGAAATATTGATAAAAAGTTTATTATCTTTATTATACACAAATAGAAGCTATGATTATTATCTTTAAGGTCAACTTGAAATTAAAAATAGCAAACAGTAAAATACAAAAAGTTCCAATCACATCTGATGGAGAACTAATTAGATAATTTAGATGTAAGGCTATACTAATTGAAATTAAAATCCTTACACTCAGGGGCCAGGGATTTAGCTCAGCAGGGCAGCACTTGCCTGGCAAGCATGAGGTTGTGAGTTCGATTCTCAGTACCAAAATAAAAATAAATCCTTACAATCAGACCTAAAAGTAGATTTAACCCTGCTGAAAACATATTTAATACAAAATAGGCTAGAAAAGATGCTGCTCTGGAATGCTACAAGGACAAGGAGAAGAAATAGGATGGTAGATAAAGAGCCAAAAAGGAGTGAGGTGATTGAATATTTAGTCAGAGTTAGGAAAGAAAAGTGACTGCAAAAGAGGTAAAGAGATAAAGTGAATGGGGCATGGTAGCGCACTTCTGTAATCCCAGCACTTGGGAGGCCGAGGCAAGAGAATCTTTTGTGAGTTTGAGACCAGCCTGGGCTACAAAGCCAGCCTAAGGCCAACCTGAACTGCATAGCAAGATTCTGTCTCAAAAAACTAAATAAATAAATAAAGTAAATGAACTGATAAGAGACATAAAGCCACAGAAACCCAGTGAATCTCAAGAACAGACAAAAGTCCACCTAACATATCAAAGTGGAAGTATAGGGGCTGGGGATTTAGCTCAGCATAAGCACCTGCCTTGCAAGCAGACTGTCATGAGTTCAATCCTCTGGTACTGATGAAAAGTTAAAAAAAAAAGTGGAAGTATAATGCACAAAAATCACAGATACAAAAATCTTAGAAGCAGCCTGAGAGAAGTGACAGATCACTTGTAAAGGAGTGACAAATCAGCTGATAGTGATTTCTTAGTGTTAACAACAGGAACAAGAAGAAAACTAGATGATACATCTATCCATGAGAGAAGATAACTGCTGATCTGGAACTCTGTACCAGCAAATAGTAAAATATATGGGTGAGAGAAGGTTTCAGGTAAGACAAAACAAACATTTACTATCAGCAGATTCTCACTGAAGGAGATTCCATATAACACCCTAGGCGTAAACAAATGTAGACAAACATTACTACAGAAAACAATAAAAGCAGTAGTTTCCACGATTATGATATAGGGGAATGAAACTCCTAACCTGCTAAATATCAGGTACAAGTTTGTGTTCTCTAAAATGAAAGAACAAATTTTAGGAACAATGGAACTTAAGAGCAGAATATATTTTTTGAAAGAAAGAAAGCTTCTGTCAGAGAGAGAGAGAAAGAGGTCCCAAGCATGGCGGAAATAGCTCAGCTAGGGGAGCGTTAGACTGAAGAGGAAGGGGTCCCAAGTGAGTTGCTGAGAGCTGCCTTTTCCAGAGATATTTATAGAGCAAAACCATGAGGTGAGGGGGGTCCATGATGGTGAAAAATGGGAACTCACAAGGCAGGCAGGCAGGCATGCGGGGGGTATGGTCACCCAATAGGATTATGAGTGTAATTGCTCAAGTAAAGTTGATTAAATCGGGATCAAATGGGGAGGTGAGTCACACAGTGTGATACAGAATAGAATATAGAATAATAGGGTCTTTGCTGGTAAGGGGTTGGTTAGGTGTTCCTGCTGTTTCAAAAAGACCAAAAATAAATAAATAAATAAACAAACAAACACAAAAACTGTACAGCAGGCCTCTTAAAGAAGTATACGGCCACCCAAGAGAAGGGAGGCTACCCCACCATTCCAAACACCATGGTGGGAGGACACAGTCACCAGCAGCCCAGGCAGGGGAAGACCCCATGGTGGAGGCTCCAGGTTATCCATAGGTCTTCTGAGGGACACAGAGGCCTGTTAACGGTGTCCTGCTGCTCTGTTCACGTGTACATTGCTGTTTCAGTTAAAAATCCTTTAAGACTCTGACAGCTTCAGCTGTTAAAAAGCACAAGATGCCAGTTCTGCCTATAATATTCCCTAAGTTTTATTGGGTCTCCCAGACTGTATACCCAAGAGTCTCACCCCTCCACCCTGACTGCCTCCCCACCTGCAGTGAGTGAGGTTTTATACTTGCATAACCAATCAGATTTGAGGGTTTAAAGGGTACTTATTTAGGGTTTAAGGCAACTGAAGATTCTGACTATCATACACATGGTAGATATGGTAATGAGTAGCTTTCCAGTATGAACTCTTAGTCTTTAATAAACTACCTCCCAGCCTCCTCTGTAGCTAGGTACATCTATATGATTTTTTTCTGACAAATTTAGACAGAACTGCTAGGAAGCCTAGTTAAAAGGAAAACAGATGTGCTATTTTATCCTCTTCTACTATAGGTTTGGAATGTGGACATGATGGCTGGTGCTTCAGTAACCAGATGGAAATGTGAGGCATCTTTAACCACTTGCTGAGAAAGACTCAAGCTGGAATCCCAGTGATCCACAAAGCTGCTGAACAGAACTTGATGTCTCACAGCTGGTCTTCTGTATGAAAAACAGACAAACATCTGTGTCTTAAATCATTATTTCAGTTATGTAGAACCAAATATCTTTCTCGCTGAGAAGATGGGTTCTGAATAGATGTGGAATTGGAGAGAATTTCATTTTTCCTTAAAATGTGCCATTTTTTTTAAAAGAAAGGCTTCCTAGAGATCCTTTATTAAATAGCTTTTATTCACCAGTTTAGTATCTTCAAAGCCCAGTGGTTAAACTTCTACCAAGATTTAATTTATAGAACTTTTCAATTATTGAAGAATCACGTGAAAGTATTTGAATTAGATTGAGCTGACACAGGTTTCAGCACAGAACTGGTGACCTCATGACACATACTTATTTGCATGTGTACAGAGTCCATTGGCACAAACCTTAGGGTGGTGACTCTGCTGATGGAAGGCTGCCAAACAGCTTAACACAGACAGAGCTCTCAATAAACAGTTGTGTTGGTTCTACCAGTGAACACAGTAACTGAGAAGAGATGTTCAGGGTGTGGGGTCATCTAGTGGACCCTTATTAATAGATGATTCCTTGGAGTTTTTCAGGGTCTTCTCCTGTCTTAAGGAAACAGACTATGTGACCTTAGAGAAACGTACTTAACTACCTTAGTGGTGGAGGCAGGTTTGTTACACCAGGCAGCACATGGAATTAAGATGGTTGGAAGCACTCGCTGGACCATCCCGTTAAGTGTTGAGAGACTTATCCATACCCTTTGTTGAAGCACATTTCATTCTTCCCAATCCTACAATCTGGGATCTCTGTTAGATTAGCAATATATACTCCCCCAGATACAATTTTATTTAAAAAATAATTTGTATATGTTTCATTGCTACAAAAGAATACATGCCCATCATAGAAAACTAAGTTCTTTTTTTTTTTTTTTTTTTTTTTTGGTACCAGGGATTGAACTCAGCACCTATGCCACTGAGCTAAATCCCCAGCCCCAGAAAACTAAAAGTTAGGCAACCCCCTCCCCGAAAAAAAAAACAACGTACAGCAAAAACACTGACAGCCCACATACCTAATCTTAATCCATTAATGTAGATCTTTTTATATCTCTTCTATACTATGTGGTGTGTGTGAACATAAACTTTTAACAATAAAGGCAGAAGACGTTTTAATATATATAAAAGGTTTAATTGATGAAATAAAATGCAAAAATCAGCAGACTTGATTGATAGAGCTAAAGGCTGGTTCTTGGGGAAAAAAACCCAATAGAATAATTTTTGTTAGCATATCTGGGGACAAAAAACCACACACACCAATGTACTATATTTGGCATAATAATATTACTAGGTAAATGGAGGTTAAAAATCTAAGCACATGTGGTATTTTAAATGTTAACAGTGCCAGAAATCTTCTGGAGAATGATTAATGATGGGTGGATGCCTGGGAAGGAGCCTGCTAACAGTAGGAAATCCTTCCCTTTGGAATCTCCAGGTTCAGATTCCAGGCGTAGTCCTGGGCAGGTGGGTCACACACAGAAAAGATGGCGGCTCTGCAATGGAGATCAGGTATCGGGGGCAGTTAGTTCGGCCACATCAAGTGGGTTGTTCTTGTAGAAGTGGATGGACCTTGACATGCTCTTTAAAACAGGTTTATTACACTGATGGGAACTCCATGTTCCACACCTTAAAAAGTTCTTACTCCCAATGAAATTACGACCAAACTCCTGAATCATTTGTAGCCATTTTTTTATTCCAAACATGTCATTTTGTAAACCTGGCATTTCCCAAACAGTGCAAGTGAATTAGAAGTGACTACATAAACTTTACTCCATGTGACATCATGGGGAGGGACACCCCTCCCACCAGAATTCCTCAGCAGAAGTGCGCAGGATGCCTCGGTGAAGCTGGAGGTGCAGTGAATGTGGGCGCCTGCTGTGCCATTCCTCATCCTAACACTGTTAAACACATGCTGCCAAAATATCATGCATGTTAGAGTTCACAACACAACACAACACAACAGTATCTTAAAACATTTGAAATCAGATCAGTGTGCTACAAAGCATTGCGCCATCTTGGGAAATGTGTTTCTCATGCGCTGAAAATCAGAAGACATCATTTTGACCCTACTGGCTCTGTGTCCTTCCTTCGGTCATTCTTTGTATCAGGAAATGTTCTCCACTATGTATATCACTACCCCTTACTATTATCACAGCTAAATATCACTGAAATCCTACATACTTGCAGCATTTCTACTTGGAGCACCTTCTGCCTTTTGTTCACTGAACGGCCATTTCCCCCAGGTAACAGAAATTTGATGGTGATGCTGAGGACTGACCCTACACAAGCAGTCTCATAATGAGCTACGTCCTAGATTAACACCTCGCACTCCATGACAATTCTTTGTGGCTACTCTAAAGTGTGGGAGGTTGGAGTCAAGCATACATTTCACCAAGTGCACATTTCACAGGTGATCAATTTAACTAACTGTGTTCACTTAAATCATAATGCTTCATCCAAAAGTAACAGTTGTGGATAACATTTCAAGACCCACCATGCTGGGGATAATCAGGAGTACACAGCCCATGGTCACTAGGGATCTGCCATATTTCTGCTCATGTGGGAGACAGGCCTCAGGTGTCCTGGAGGGCTGCTGCTTTTGTTTATTAACCCCCTGTCTCTGGCTCAAAAACTAGAGGTTACTCATAATTTCTTGGAGGACTCTCTCCTGTGTTTTCTAGTTTGCCAAGTCTCTGAACACTGGGATGCTAATGAAGTCTCCTGAAGCACCATCCCACCCCACATCACAGCTGAGGGGCTGGATGTGTGCCTGTCAGTTACTATAAAGTCAGCGGACCCCATCCCTACTCCTAGTTTCCCCTTGTTTCTGAACCTCCTGGCGTCTTTGTGATGGGGCCAAGCTCATTTGGAGTATTTCAAACTCTTGAGTCCTATGTGACTAGGCCTAAGGGAATCATTTTTGGAAAAGGGGGAATTTTAAAAGAATAATCTACAGTGACAACGTAGACACACTGGTCCAACCTGATGCTTTCCCTGAGAACCTATTGAGGGCTTCTGGGATGAGCTGGGGAACTGCCCAACTGGAGAGAGTTCCTTTAAGGTCCTTGTCCTTTAAGGTCCACCTGCTACTCAGCAGGATCAGTTAAGCAGAGACACTATCCTTCCCCAGATAATCCCTGGAGTGGTTTCTAGTATTTTCTTCTTGTGATGCCAAGTTCAGTTTTAAGAACAGTCCTGTAAAGTCTTAGTGGCCTCCTGGGTAAGCGACTGCTCACGTGACCTATTATTTAGAACCCTGCCTACCCTCAGTGGGCGTGGCTCTGTGACTAGCAGGACTGTGGGCTTTCCACACCGTCTCCGGTGTATTTGCACTCACTGCAGAAGGCAGATTACCGGTATTCAATGCATTTGAACAAATCTGCTGCCCTAGGTCTACCATCTAAGAATCGTGAATGACTTAGAAAAGGAAAACATGATATTAGTAACAGGGTTCTATGGCTGTCTGCCTACTGTGCAAGAGCTTGCCTCCTGGAAGTACTATGTCTGCAGTGTTCACTGGGAACCCCTGGCACCTACCTAGTGTTTGACACACAGCAGGGGCCCTAACAGGGCATGGCTGTTAACGGACTAAACTACAGCCAGGACTTTTTCCTATTGCTTTTGATAAAACTCAGGAACAAACTTGAGTAAGGACTCATTTCCTTGCCTGATTCCATGCTGTAGCAACTCCTATGCTTACACTCCACAGTTCAAAGCAATGTCCCTGACTTCTAGGATTAACCTGGATCATGTCTTTCGTTGTCCTTCCCCATGTTCACCAAGGATGGAAGCAGGACACATTCATCACCTTGCAGGAGACTCAGCTGCATAAACCAAAAGACATGTCCTCCATGCCAAGTTTGTACCTGACTGTTCATAGGTATCCAATGTTAGTGACCAGTAAACAAGACATTAAAAGAAAGACTCTTGTCCCATTCCCATTTGATGCCATCTGTATGTAGCTGGGGCTTTAGCTACAATAAGGCTACAATAAGGCTTTAAGACTCTTTGTCAGACCCTGAGCTTAGTCCCATGTTTTCTGCCTCACTCGTTGATTACCCAGCAGTGGAGCAGCAGCCATAGCCGTTAACATTTACTGAGTGTTCACAAAGGGCCAGATGTAGTGGTGGACATGCGACCTCCATCACTTCATCACTCTTCTAGAAAATCACTTTGCACTCAAAACCAAGCAGCACCCAATGATGTCAAACAGAGAACTTGGATCTGAAGGCCATAACTCAGCATTCACACCTGTAGAGTGGTGGTGGGAGGGAGAGGGCATTAGTGTTCTGCACGAATCTCTATAGACATCATTTCTTTTTGCATTGTTTCTGTGTCTCTTGGGTTGGGTTTGCACTTGCAGCTCTCCTGTAGAGGACAGAGCCACATTGGCAGTAGGAATCAAGAGCATAAAGTTTACATTTCCCCTGGGTATGGGAATAAGACAGCCTAGCTCCCTTTCCTCAGGTTGTGACAACTCCAAGACATCACTTACCCTCAAAGGTAATCAGGCTGAAGCCACCCTTGGTGAACTTGCCCTGAAATGGGCATGTTTGCCTGGTTTCTTTACTTTCCTTGACCCTCTCTTTTACACTCTTACTGGTATCACGTGGTAAACACTTTTTTAGTAATTTTCTCGTACACAGATCTTTGATTTAGGGTCTGCTTCTTGGGAATCATACCTAAAACACTTTAAAAAACAAGAATAATAAAAAGGATAGGTTGCATAGTTATCTCTAGGAAGAAAATTGCAATTACCACTCACTGGGGACTACAAGAACAGTAAGGGAAGTGGAGACCTGTGACCTAGTATACCATGAAAAGGCCGTGTCTCACACCGCATTTAGACAAGTCTTTGTGGATAAGGGGGACTGAGGTGCGGATTCAGTCTCTGTGGGGTGTGAACACTGATCTGTGGTGTTCAAGATGAGACGCCACTGTGAAGTTGACAGGTCACCACATAGCATTGCTCCAAGCCTTCATCTCTCAGCTCAAGGAGAAGGAGGGTGGGGTGATGCACAGAGGTGATGAGAGCAGGCCTGCTCTAGGAATCAGTGTTTCCATTCAAATTCCTGCTGGGAATCTTCCAATGAAAGGGACATATGCAAAAACACTTAAAGTTCCTTAATACATGCCTCCAAACTTGACTCCCGGCAATAAAAATGTGAAATCTTTTTGGGGTCTCGCCATCTCTAGTTTATCTGTAGCACAGCCAACATGGTGGATTCATTTCATGAAGTATCTTCAGCTTACTTTATCTGCACATCTTTTTGAACAGAAAGTTCCACAAGTACAATGAGATTTTTATCCTTTTAAATCTGAGTGCGAGTGTTTCCAAGATGTCTGGCCAAATATCAGTGCTTGAGTGAATTATATAACTATTTAATAGAAATAAATCATTGATACAAATATAAAGACATGATCAGTATAAAAGGCTTATATTTATAAAAATACTTTTAGATAACAGTTTTCCCCTGAGGGTTGACCATGCATCTGCATCCATAAATATTGCTCGGCTCTGTAGCTTGCTTTCCAAAATTCAGAGTTCTCTTTAAACAGGAAGTGGCTGTGGCTCTGGTCATGTGACCTGGCCGGCTGCCGCAGGCTGGCACCTGGGCTTGAAAGAATGAGAAAGAGAACAGCATCAGTGGGGCCTCCGAAAAATCTGGAGAAGATTCTTTTCTTCCAAATATGGAAGATACAAAGATCTAGGACAACAGGCTAGTGATTTGGGTCATATGACTGGCGTGGCAGGTCACTGGTTTTTCTGGACCCAGTCCCAACTGTCTTCATTCTCTTTCCGGTTCTTCTCGGCTTCAATAATTTCTTTGTACCTTCGGCGAAAGAAGCCCATCTGAAAAGCAGAAGGAGGAGGAGCTGTTTAATAAGGCCAGAGAGTCAGCTATTTTGTTCCAAGTCAGCCTGGCCTAATGACTATGTGTGACCTCCCCTCACAGGGCTTGGAGGGCTTGGAGAACTCTTCAAATCAAACTGTTTTTAGAAAACACACTGGCAAGAAAGCATTACAGAGAGCCACTTTCCAAAAGGAATGGACTTCCTGCGGGCTATCTTGTGAGAAGTTGTCCATTCCTTATAAAACAGTTCAGGTATAGTATGTTTCAACCTTGTTATTCAAAGGTGTTTGGAAAACCTGGTGGTGCACACCTATAATCTCAGCACCTGGGATGCTGAGGCAGGAGAATCACAAGTTTGATGCCAGCCTGGACTATAATAGTGAGTTTGAGGCCAGCCTGAACTACATGGTGAGTCCTTGTCTCAAAAAAAAAAAAAAAGTGTTTGAGATTTTAAAAAAAAGGTTTCATAGCAAAACAGGGAGCAATGTATTGCTTCTTTCTTTCTTTTCCTTTTTTTTTTTTTTTTTTTTTTTGGTATTGGAGCTCTAACTCACAACCTCGCACATGCCAGGTGGGTGCTTGTATCACTGAGCTAAATCCCCAGCCCCGAGATATATTCTTTCTTCCAGATATTTGTAATGCACAGCAGAAAAGTAAAGGATCTAAAGCTGGGCCCGGTAGCGCACACCTATAGTCCCAGCACTTGGGAGGCTGAAGCAGGAGGATCATTGCAAGTTCAAGACTAGACTGGGCTACAAAGTGAGCTCAAGGCCAGCCTGAACTGCATAGTGAGGCCTTCTTTCAAAAAGACAAAAAAAAAAAAAAAAAAAAAAAAGTAAAGGATCTGATAACTCTAGGTAGGTAAGTAACCCTGATATTGTCTAAGCTTGGCTTTTAATGAACTTTTTAATATCTTGGGAGGTGTTAACCATCTGTGAAACAATCTCATAATTGCTGCTCTGATATGCGAGGCTCTGCAAAGCACCTGTAGGCCTGCATTCTACAAGGCTGCCATACAGCTCTTCCTCTTGCCCCTGTGGAACCCGGGGCGCCTGCGCAGCAGAGTCAGCAGCATGGATTCACCCAGGGCTGACCATCCATCCTGATTCAGGGTGGCAGCATCCTTTAGCTTACTTCTGAGAGTTCTGCCCCCTCCTCTGATGTTGGATTTAGTCTTGTGACTTCTCACGTATGATAAGAAACATTTCTAGTTTCTAGTTTTTCTCAGTCATCACAGGCACTGTTGCTGAATGTTTCAGCACCTTTTTGTATCCCAAAGCTCTCTCCTATTCTCAGGAAGGTCTGGCATCTCTCATTCTTTGCTCATCAGCATTATGAGCCTCTGTTCTTCAGGCCAGGTATTTCTCCCTAAATTTGCTCTGAAACATGACTGGCCATTGCAGGTATTTCAATGCCCTAATGGAGGAAGAATTCTAAAGTGCGGGTTCTTTTCCGGTGGAACCTGCCCACAGTAGTAACCACCTGATAACGTATCCTTGGCTTCCTGCTTTCTCTGTCTCAATTCCTGCTTCACAAGTGCTTTCTGAGCTCACCTCCCAAATACACTTGTCTTCAAATCCTTCTTTCAATTTCCCTTAAATAGAAAGATTCAAACTGAGGCACATATACGATCTCTGGTGGTAGACCTTCTGCACTGCAGGCTTATGGCATAAAAATATCATTAACTTATAACACCCATAGTTATATTTGAAAGCCCTCATGACTAGCAATCTCCATCTGTGGCCAACCGTGAATATACATATAAAACATGCGCTAAACAAGTCATAAAGCAAATCTTGCTCTCTTGAGCACTTTTAACATCCTCATTGTGTATTTGTCCTCCAGTTTCTTTACGGTAAGTTAAGCACAATGGGAAGCATTGGCAGTCATTCTATTTGGCCATTTCCCATTGCTATAAAAATCCCCAAGTCCCTAATTTATAAACAAAAAGGGTTTACTTAGCTCACTGTTTTGGAGGCTAAAGTCCAAGATGGGGTAGTACCGTTAGTTCAGCATCTATTGAGGGTGATGTGGTAGATGGCATCATAGTGGAAGCACGTGCAAGAAGCGGGGCTCACACAACAAGGCAGGAAAGCTGACAGTGAGAAGGAGCCTGCCTTGCTCTTTGCGTCTGTCTGTCTGTCTGTCTGTCTGTCTGTCTGTCTGTGTTTTGGAGACAAGGCCTCGCTATGCAGTTCAGGCTGCCCTTGAGCTTACTTTGCAGCCCAGGCTGCTCTTGAACTTCCAATGATCCTCCTGCCTCAGCCTCCGGAGTGCTGGGATTACTGGTGTGTGCCACCACACCTGGCTTGTAACAACTCTCTTGCAAGGATCTCATAAACACTAAAATAATTCCTCCCAAGAGCAGAACCCTCACTGACTCAGGCCTTTACTGAGTCTGGACCTTTAATATCATACTGAGGACCAAGCTTCCAACACATAAATCTGTGGGGACACCCAAACAACAGAATTTGCCCTGATGACATCAGTTCCTCCCAAGTAAAGAAAATGAGTGATCAGCAGTTGTCTCTTCCTACCACCACCCTCCCCACAAGGAGGTGATTTATTGACCTAGCTAACGATAAGGATAAGAACTGTCAAAGAAGCTGCCAGGTACCTCCACCCATACTGCTAGGGAACTCTGAACATCTGCTTCAGGTGGGGTCAACAAGGCACTGCAGTATGAATGACTGAAAGGGAACAGAAGCTTTCTTAGAACACCTGGCAAAAGTCTTATGTTCTGAGCTCTGATCCTCAAGGCCAGTCCTGTAAATACACATTGAGCTCCTGGTGTCTTTAGCCTTGGAGGTTTCATTCCACCCTAAAAGCACATTTCTCAGCACCTCACATTCTGACCACCTCCTACTCTCTTCTGCAAGGGAAAGGAGGCGTGGCTTGATCTAGATTATTATTATTTTTTATTGATACCGGGGATCGAACTCACGACTGTCTGCTTGCAAGGCAGGTGCTTATGCCGCTGAGCTAAATCCCCAGCCCCGATCTAGATTATTATTAAAAGTCATAGTTGTCACTCCAAAGCACACAGAAGACCCAAAGAGCAGAGTAAGACTCAGTAGAAACATTTCACTGAGAAACTACTGTTTGAAGTATTCTTTAGAGATGAAGATGTGGCTGGCTGAGCAAAAATGATTGGGTGTTTGTGGGTGATGGAGTAATGTTTCAGTAACCCCAACTGACTTCTTTTACTAGGGAATACATCCTTACTGCAGCACAGATCTAGCAGACTCTTAGTCTGCTTGTGTTATCCTCTGCATTTTTCTTAGAACTCCTCAAAGGCAGCTCTATGCATTTTATTTCCAGCACTGTGTCTCACCTTTACTGAGTATCAGTGATAAGTTGTGAAAGTGGCCACAACTTCCTTTGCCTGCGTCTGCTGTTTTTACTGTGTGCCTGCAGCAATTCCCATCCTGAGGTGATGTCTACTTCCTCAGCCTTTGAATTCCACTGAGGCTTCAACAATCAGATATAAGAGAGGTGACGATCAATAGATGGTCCACATTTCTGATTACTTTCTCAGAACTCTGTCCTATCTGCATGCAAACACATCATCCCAGCCTGCTGAAAGACAGGAGATCCCCAACTGATGCCCACCCAGAGCAGCTAAGCCCTAACTCTCTGCAGATGAACTCGGGGGCCCAGTAGAGACAGAGGAACTGCCCAGTTGGCTCAGTCCAAAGGCAACACACAGAACTCTGAGCTACCAAGATGGTTGTTCTGTGTAGGCTGCTGAAAATTGGGGTGGTTAATTATGTAGCATAAGTTAACTGGTACAGGACCTGATATTTTTTGTTGATTCACTGAGTGAACTAGAGGGTTCTAGATATAAATGGCATCAATGCACTTTGTTCTGTGAACTCAGTTTTATTTTTCTTAAGAAGTAAAAAAGCTGGCTCACTGCTGGTAGTCATGTTAGTATGAGGACCTGGTACGGAGAGAGGAAAACAACCAAGGTAAAATTCCAAGGAAAGATTTCAAACACCTGAACTAATATATGCACATGCTTTCATATACTTGTGTTTTTATGGATATTGCCATGTTACCAGCAAAGTGGAGTTTCTTCTCTTGCAGGGATCTGGAAGCAAGCTTTTTGGATGCTTAGTAGAGCAGTATCAGCATTAAGCCTGCACATCATGACCCCAGCAGGGTCACTATCGAGCGGCTCTCAGAAATTGCCTCAAAGTTGTATGCCCTGCTCCCAACACAGCCTGTGTGTGGTCTCTTGGATGGGAGGTCGGAGCTGTGGTTGATGTATGTCTGTTTTCCTTGGAACTCAAAGATCATTTCTTAAAACAGAACACATTCTCCCGGACACAGCAGCACAGGCTGTGCACTGCGTGTAGGGGTTGGGTGCTCCTCATGTCACAGACATGACAGATGTATAAATTTATTATAACATTTCCCAACAGATGGCAGTAGTGAATATAACAATGTTAAGACTTCATTTTGATTTTCCTGACAGATGAAAGTAAAAGGTACTGACAAGGGGGTGCTGTTGGCACAAAGGTGCTGCACAGTTTAATGGTGGCTGTGAAACATATTGTTTCTTATATAATCAAACTAATTATTTCAGAAAGGACCTCATCAAACATGGTGAAAACATCAATCTTTTAAAAAAAAAAAAGTCAAGAAGGCTGAAGTAGTAAGACCAAGACTTTGAAGCCAGCCTGAACTACATAGTAAGAACCTGTCTAGGAAAAAAAAAGTCAAAATGCATGACCTATGAGAACAAATTATCAAAAGTAATTTTCTAGAATTAAAAGGAGCATGGCATCTTCTAAGTCACATATAACATTGTTTTCAGAAGGTCTCAGTAAACACAAATCAATACATGAAGAACAGATCTTCCTATCTAACATTTCCTAATATAATTTCAGTTAAGAATGGGGCAGGAAAAATTAAATTTAGCAAGTTTTCATCACTCTTAAGATAATGACTCTGAATTTGATCATCTAACAAGCAGTTCTCTTTCCTAACAGGGACCTGTTTTAAATTAGTAACACAATCCACATGCCAAAGGCGGCCCGAGAGCCTCTTCAGTTTGTCACAGCACCTACAGTTGCTGTGTGGCCCCTCTGAGGTGCTCCACACGTGAGAAAGTCATTAGGAACCCGCTCATCAGCAATGTCCAAGGGGAACTTCTGCTTCCCTCCTTTCCCGTAGCCATCCTTACAGCATAAAAAGATGCAGACTGGCTTGTGGACAGGTAGCCTAACTAAGAGAACGTGTTAGATGAGAGCCCAAATGGTCAAAGACATTAGACACTAGGTTTACATGCAGAAAAAAACTCTTAGTCGTAGGCAGAGAATCAGAAGCAGGATGTGTTTTATTTTTAAAAATCACCCCGCTTGATTGAGGCATGGTTGATAATACTTAAAAGTGCAAAATATGATGTTTTGAGACTCATATATGTTGTGAAATGATTGCAATCAAGCTAATTAGCTTACTCATCACCCCCAGACAGTAACAACTATGTGTCAGCAGTGGGTGGTGGACACTCTTGAAATCTCAGCACTCTGGAGCAGACGCAGGAGAATCTTTTGCAAGTCTGAGACCAGTCTGGGCTACAAAGTGAGCCCAAGGCCAGCCTGAACTGCACAGTGAGACCTGACTCAAAAAGACAACAAAAACAATTGTGTGTGCCTGAGTGTGTGTGGCCGGAACATTTCAGATCTACTCTGAAAACAAATTTAAAGTACTCATATTTGAATTTTAATTTTTATATTACAGTGTGGGTATACTGTAAAGCACAAAGAATTACAAAATTCTTAACAATTAAGTTAAAACAAGCCCTGAATTGCACCTCTCTCCTGCAGACCTCCCTGGGGCATATATGTCTACTTCTGTTTGCACTCATGAATATTTGGGGGAAACCTTGAGATGGGCTGGACAAATCTGCTTTTCCCGCCATGTGAGCCCACACCAAGGCTGCCGGGAAGTGATTAACGAGTTTATGTTATACCCGAAGCAGCTCCACACTCTCTTCCAATCCAAGAGAGTCATTGTTTTCCTGAGCTTTTTCTGGAATCTTCCAGAGCTTACTCTACTGCTTGAGGGACAAAAGGCTGTTTATAACTGTTCTGTTTATAGCAGAAGAAACCTTGGAGAAGGAAACTAGAGCCAAGCTTTGTTAGCTGGAGGCTGAGAGCACTGTGCATCCTGTGCTAGTCCTTATGGGGTCCTGCAGCCCCATAAAGCACTTTTGTAGCCATACAATTTAATATACCTTGTATCAAAAATTTGTCAAAAAACTGGGAAAACAGCAGATTCTCCCTGAATGTCCCAGCCAGCTAGGTATGGCCAGAGGCAGGAGGGGAGGCCAGAGAGGAGACTTGGCCTAACCCAGCCCACTTTAAGAGGGAGGGGCTGGCACACAGCTGGTGTCTTGAGGGATGCCCCGCCCCTTATCAATATCCCTCTAGGCAGGGTCTAGGGAGCTATGCCAAGTCCTGGGACACATTCTTCCTCTGGACCAGTTCAAGGCTTCATGTTTATGGGTCTCTGTAGTTACTTGACCATGTATGTCTCTGTCTGGAGAAACTAGCATGTCTCTGTCTGGAGATGTCAACAATGCAGTATTAGACTAATATTTATTTCTAAACATAAACAGCCCCATCACACGTCTTTGGCACATGGTTTTTTTTTTTTTAAGGAGAAAAAGAAAAAAACAAAAACAAAAAGGGTACAAGTTATACAGAATTTCAGGAAAAATAAACAGTAGGAAATCACTAGTTAATAGATTACATATTGTTATCTTAGAAATAGTTGTTCAAGTTACAAAATTAAAGCATATAAAGTGGACTTTCAAACAGTGAGACTGGAAACAGTTTTGTTCAATGATCCAACAGAACTCAGTAATATGGTTATCTATCTTATACACTTAAACATATATGTAGTTATATTCTTCAGAGCACTTTCTTTTCCTTTCTTTTGTACAATGACAATTACACATTTTGGGTTTTATTACTCCCACAGTTCTTATTACTTTTTTTTTGAAGAGAGTAAAACCAAATGTGACATAACAGAGCAGAGTCAGTCAAATCAAAAGAATGGACATAATAGATAATGTAAACACAAAATACTAGGTGATCAACAATGGTTACCGTACTGCCTCTTGCTATCTTAAAAAGAATTGCCTATATCATCAGTTATGATAAAATTGAACAAAACAATAAAGAATAAAACCAAAACATTGGAGACATTACAGGGCTTTAAAAGAAAATAATAGTCACCCGGAATGGGCTTCATAATGAATCTTATTGTCTTTACAGTTTTGGCACATGGTTTGGACTGAGGTGATAAGAGGGGTGTGCATGTGTGCACACATCTATGTGGTTTCTTTCTTTCCGGAGGAGAAGCAAGGATGGGCTTTCATAGCTTGGTTTGGGGGCGAGGTTTTAACCCCAATGACCTGTAAAGAAGCTGCCAAATTACACTTTCTCTGTGCCTTTCACAGGTAAGTTTTCTAAGCATTTTTGTCTGAGGTCAGAAGCAATATTCTCAAATTAAAACCATAAGCCCAAAGAAAGTTCTAAAATGGTAGATTCTTGGAATGGTTCCAGGGGATAGAGAACTAGGGACAGCCTTGTCTGAGAGGCAGTGAATACATTCTGCAGCCTGTCCCTTTGCCACCTGGGTAGACAGGCCTGGGCTTCCAGGAAAGAGTCTGGCTACAGGGCTGGCAAAGCAGAGTCACTTCGTGTGCTCTGAGCTATCTCAGCTTGCACAATACTCAAGCAAGAGAGAAGATAAAGAGAGCATCCTTGGCTGAGGCCAGCAAAGGAGGATTTTTCCTTTGCTGGGGGGTGGTCTGTATGTTTTGGCAAACTGCAAACAGGAACAGGTCACAGGAGGGGGACAGAGGGAAGGGTTTTTTTTTTTTTTTTTTTTAAAGGAAAACACCCTGGCATCTCTGCTGACTTTCCATGATGCTCAGTCTGATGTAATGAGTTGAAAGCCTTTCTTAAAGACACAAGTCATGTGCCAACTTACTCTATTTGCTGTACCTCTAACAACTAAACTTTCTCCTTATACACAGGCCTTTGGAAGATGCCCTGCATCTTCAAACCCCATCACAAGATGAAGAAAGGAGAAAGGATTCATTTAGAACTTTTTTCCCTTGAAAGAGTTTCACATATCAAAGCTTTCTTCCTGTGTAGTGGTTTGGCAGGCTAATATAACCCTAGTACATAAAGTTAAATTATGGCTCCCAATATCTGCTAACATTTCAGCTTTGTGAAGCCTGATTAGGTTCCATTTTAATATTTGAAGACATCTCTGGTTAGCTGGGGCCTCGTTGTGGATTTTGTGTGGGAGCTAAGGCCTGCTGCCTCCAAGCAGGAGAGAGCACCCAAGATGCCAACAGGGCCTTCTGCAGGGTGCCCAGGGAGCTGCGGGAGGCTGAGGCCCAGGCAGAAGGGAGTCTGGACTGGCTGAGCACAGAGGCAGGGAGTCTGGACATCAGCTTTGGAGAAGGCACATGCTACACTTACAGGAATTTCTATTTCAGGTAAACAACGAGTAACAATGAGGTGCACAGGTCCCAAGGGCCAAGTCTTCTTCACCCCTTAGCCAATGCCTTTCTCGGTGGTCTTCAAGACTCTAAGAGGACTCTTGTTTATCTCTGTCCCTTTCCCCAGGGCTTGCCACTTGGTAGGGAGCCAACAGTGTCTGCCAAGTGAAGGCACGGACTGTCTTGCAGGTGTAAAGCAGCAGACCCTCAGGCCTGTGAGGCACTGTGAATGTGTTCTCGTAGCCAGCTGCTTGTCTCGGCTTTTAGTAACATGTCATGATTCATGACACATTTTTGGAACAACTACTTTTGGCTCATGAGTTCACAGCAATGGCAAGTGACCACAGGTAGCAATATCAAGAGCTACTTTAAAAGGAAATTCAAGAGATGTGGCCTATAACAAGAAGTGAGTATGAACACTGGCCGCTTGTCTTCACATGCCCTCATTAAAGTGCTTCCTGGACAGCTGTGGCAAATGGATGCCACTTGGTGGCTTCACAAGACAAAAATGGAAAGAATTATTTATGGAATGTGGTAATAAGCTAGGACCATTGAGACCTCCCAGATAAGCCACATATTGGGCTGTACTATTTAGGCCCATTAATTAAAGGTTTCTGTCAATGTGATGTTGGATCTCCGTTCACTACACATCGCACTTCACTCTCAGATTGTGGACATAGGAACCAGAGCTGCTAAAACATCTGTGTGGGAAGTGTTAGGAATATGTAGTTCTTTACAATAATTCTCTATTTCACTTGTCCCTTTCAATCTCTTACAAAGTCGTTATGTAGACAGGCCTTTAAGAAATTTTTTTTCTAAATAACCCCCTCTGCCTAGCTCCTTATTCCCTTATAGCCTGCCTGAATCCCTACAATGCACTGCCTAGATATTCTATTTTCCCCAAAAGAATTAAACTGTGATTTTTCTCTATGAAATTATAGAAGAGAGATGAGGTTACATTTACTTTAAAACAGAATGAAACTTCTGGCTAGGTGACTCTTCCCTTGTAACAGTGACTTTAAAAATATTTTATTCATTCTGCTGAATGTCTTAGGAGCCTTTGCCATTTCTGCTATTGAGAAGCCTGGTGGTTTCTCTCTCCTTTAAGCCTGGGCTGTGTAAGTGCTTTGGCCTATAGAAAGTGCTGGAAGATGCTGAGCACACACAGGGCCAGATCAATAGGGGACTGGCAGCTCTGGGTGTGCTCTCGTGGAGCCTCAGTCACTACACAGAGTCAGATTGCTCTGCTGAAGGGACCACATTGAGGGAGGTGGATCTATATGATGAGGTTCTGCTAATTCCAACTTCTATCCATCTGTATCAAGGTTCCAGGCACATGAGGGAAGCTCTTGGACTCTGAACACCATCATACCCTCAAGGTAAATTCTACTAAGGGACCCCACTCAATGCCACATAGAGCAGAAGACTCAATAGCCAAACCTTCCTGGAACTCTGACCCATGTATTTGTAAGATATCATGCAGTGGTTATTTCAAGTCAGTCAATTCAAAGGCAGTTTGTTACACAGCATAGCTGACTGGGATGGTATAAAGGTCTGCAATTTAAGGACTAACACTATGTGCTGGAATAACTGCCTTTGGGGTATCTGCCTAGTTTCTGTATCTCTGGAGAGATCCACCCAATCCTAGCCAATATTGCCATCCTACACCTCTTTCCCACTCCACCCTGAGCTGTTTGGGTCTGTGACAGCTGACCCAAGCTGGGCAATCCAGGTGATTTCTCCCTGAGGACTCCTGTCTCTAGCCACAGTTGATGATAGCTGGGTCACACAGACCTCCCTCCTAGACATGCAGATCTGGAAATCAGAGGTGGCTGACTTTTCTGTGTCTGAGGCTAGAAGCTGTTTAGATGTCTGTGTAGAGAAGGATAAAGAAAGCCAGTAGGTGAAACGAGACAAGTGGGCAGAAGAGTAGAGTGAAGAAAAGCCATCTTTCTTTCTTTCTCTATCTATCTATCTATCTATCTATCTATCTATCTATCTATCTATCTATCTATCTATCTCAGCTGTGAGTGGATCTTTTTTTTTTTTTTTTTCCTGAAACTGGGAAAAATGGCCTCTCAGATGAGTAAGCACCACTCTAGAAATTGCAGAGCAAGTTGCCCAGGCATATTAGGTTACAGAAATGTCCTTTTGGGCCATGGATTTAGCTCAGTGGCTAAGCACCTGCCTGGCAAGTGCAAGGTTGTAAGTTTGATCCCTGATCACCGCCCCCCCCCCGCAAAAAAAATGTCCTGTTAACCTTCCCCCTGCTGGACAAAGTAACTCTGAAGGTCTCACAGCTGGCACAGGGAGCAGCCAGACTGTGGCACAGTGACCAGCCCAGCCAGCCCATTGGGCCTGGGCTCTCATCCACTGCGTTGTATCAGTGGTCTTTCCTTCTGCACTGAGGATGGAGGGGCGGGGACTCATGGTGCGTTTTGCTTCCCACAGCAATTGCTGCACAGCATTCGTCTCCCTTGCTACATCACCAGCCTATGTGCTAGGAGGCCAGGGTTCAAGGGCAGGGTAGGGCCACATCCCAGTACACTGGCCAGTATCTGGGTCAGAATGAGTATTCAGTAAGCTGGGTTGCAGGGCTGGAAGGAAACACTTCTCTCTGAGGACTAGCAGAGCAGCCTGACCCATACAGCCTCATAAGACAGCTTCCTCAAAGCTTTCCTTCCTCAAAGTGACACCTTGTCTATGGTAAGGCAGGAGGTGACCCTCAATGCCCACACTGACTGCAGTCACTCTGTTTTTTGTCAAAGTCCTACAATGACTGATTCTTAGCTTCTCAGGCCCTGGCATTCTAGATTCCACTTAGTTGGGTAAACACAGGGTTCTGACCACCACACTTTGTTTAAGCAAATACAACAAAAACAAAGCAAAGCACATGGCAGGTGGGAGGAGGCAGAGCGTGGGCACAGGAGATCAGACACCACTGAGGGACACAAGAGGGTGAGGTGGCCACAAAGGGTAGCAGGGCATGGCCTTCCTGCTGTGTCCATCTGGTCCCACCCAGATCGCCATGGAGGAGGAAAGAACACCATCTTCTTTCAAGAGGCAATAGAAAGGTAGAAGGAAACCTGTACACGTGGACACTCTCCTCTAGACACTGTCCTCGAAAAGCCCTCACTGCTCAGCAAAAAGCCTGTCTTTTCAGATTCCAAACACTGAGCGGGCTTTGTTTTCCACTCACAGACCAGAGGCCTTCTCGACAGGAAGGAGTTGGAATCAGAGACAGAGAGAATAATCTATCTGACAATACAGTATAAATAAGCAACAAATTGGCAGAGTAAAAAGAAGATGACATTCACTGTTGGCAATTATACAGGAAAATGAACACTTTTTTTACACTGTTAGTGGGAGGGTGAATTGGTATAATCCTTCTAGAGGGAATGCATTGATCAAACATAATGTATTAATAAAGGAAAAAACTGTAAAACACCCCGGAATTTAAATCCCAGAGATAGCCATGATGAGTGTCATATGCATATTATTTGGAAATTTCAAAGAAATGAAATATTTGAGGTTAAGATATCCATAATAGTCCCAGAGGCTGTTTCTATTTGTATGAGTTGTATACATTGGAGAACATGGGCTTTGGGGTTAGAAAGTCCCAGCAGTGTCCCTGGTGCTGTTTGGGAGCTGGGTCTAGAGGAGAAACAAGGATAGACGAACACCCCACTCATGTGTACCATTACTGCCCCGTGGAAGAGACAGATTTTCATCAGATAATCTGATACCAACCTATGTGAATATAAAGGGTCTGAAGTAAAAGGGCATCTGATGCTGGGGGTCATGAGGCAAAGAAGACTGGGTGAGGGTGCCCTTTGTCTTTGAAGAGTAACATGAGGCAAGACAAGAGGATGAGCAGGCTTGCCCTGTGATGGAGGTGGGCAGTTCTATGCCCACCATAGGGCAGCCAGAACCTCATGCGACTGGGAGGACTTGGCTGAAGCTCCTCAGCGCTGCTCTAGATCTGCAACCACCCCTGCTGCCCGCCCTAGTCTGCTGGGCAGAAATTTCTCCTTTCCCATGAAGGGAAAGAAGAACGAATTGCTCTGGAGTTCCTATTCTTACTGTTTGTTCAAGTAAATAACAAACTACTTACTGAAGATGTTAGCCATCCTCAAGCTTATTGTGAAGTTAGGTTCCCAACTGACATCAGGCTGGTGCAACTTCTCAGTGCTAAGTAAGAGGAGACTGAGACTTGTTCTCACAGTCTGTCTCCCTGGAAAGTAGCCCAAATCCTCAGGCAGTGAATGGCTTTAAGAAGTGCCAAGATTCCATTTCTTGCTTGGAGGGACAGTGACCTCCCTTGTACCTGTACTGTGAAGGAAGCTCCAACAAGAAGCTCTTCCAAGGTACTCCCACTTTAGGAGGTGGAAGAGCTGGGCATCCACAGTGGAAATTCCATGAGGACCTGTGACTGTGTCACTCACCTTCCACAGTAGCACTGCTAGCAGCAAGAAGATGAGGATTCCCACCAGCAAACTTATGGCGATGATCCATCCCACCACATAGCCGCGGGGCTCCAGATTGTGCAAGGCCTCAAAGACCACCTAGGAGGCAAGGCAAACGTGAGAACATGAAACCCAAGCCCAAGGCCTTTAAAGGGTGGTAATGATAACAACCTTGATTAAAGTATCATAACATATCTTTCTCTTCCATAAAGAAGGTAAAGCCATCATTTGTAGCACAATGGATATACTGTGAGGACGTAATATTAAGTAAAATAAATCACAGAAGCTTAAATATCATGTGGATTGTTTTACATGAAAAACTCAAAATATAAATTAAAAGCAAAAAAAAAATAGGTGATAGGAAATAGATCTTTTGCAAAAGGGAAAGGGAATGGAAAAAGGATTAAAATGTGTTATGTTTAAGTACCAACTCAAGTGTATTGCTCACTTGCAGCGACTGGGCACCATCTGGACTGGATGCCGCGCAGCACCGCTCACTTTGCATTTTGAAGGCCTGCTCTCAATCTCTAACATTTACCAGATGTTCTTCAGTCAGGCTGTATATGTGCTTTTCTTGCACTCTGTCTAATTCACAAATCAGCCTCACGAGGCCTACATGGAAGTCTAGAGAGGACATGGTACTTGGTCATGTGGTTTCAGAGCAGCCAGGACTTGAACCCAAGGCGAGTCAAACCTTTCAAATCTAAATGTATTACCATTATGGTACAGTTTGTGTCAAGACGCAACCCAAAAGCCTCATGCAGTCCTAGGTGGGGCTTTTTCAGAGGTGGTTGGATATGACACTAGAAATGATGCACAGTGCTGTGCTAGGCTCAAGGGCACTAGGATTAAGAATGTGAGAGCAGGGGCTGAGGATTTAGCTCAGCGGCAAAAGCACCTGCCTTGCAAGCAGGCAGTCGTGAATTTGATCCCCGGTACTGATAAAAAAGAAAAAGGAAAAAAAAAACAATGTGAGAGTGACCCACCGTAAGTAGCTGGACAAAACATAAGGGATAGACTGTCCCCTGTTGCTTTGCTGTCTTCTGCTTGCCACAAACTGTTTCTCCTCTGGGATGTCTGCCTGCCATGTCACCCTGCCCTGGAGCCAGCCAATTAAGGACTGAAATTGCTACAAACTAAGCTAAATAAACCTTTTCCCCTTTAACTTTGGGTGTCAGTTATTTTTGTCTCTGCAACCAGAAAAACAACTAAGAAAAATGACCACAGAGCACTGATAGCATTGTACACTATCTGTTGATTAAATGGATTGTTTATTGTCACTTCCCTGGTGACAAGAGGGAAAAATGTGACCATCTCTATCTTCTTGATCAATTCCCAGAGCTAACATAGCACAGTGTATATGACACAGGGGGTGGGTGTTGTGAACAGACATCCATGAGACACATGGGCTACAACAATTTCATGTGCAAATCTCAGATCCAAAGTTTATGTCAAGGGAAATTCTGTGCAGCAGAAATTACTTCTTAATTGGGACAAATGAGAAACAATTGCTTTCAAAACACAGTTAACTATTTCTTGGATTAGAAATGGGGCTGTTGTACAGGATAAAGTCATTATATGTAGGTGGCCTTGGGCAAGGTATTTTACCTCTCTGACCCTGTATTCTTATCTGTGAAACAAGAATAGAACAGTATGTCCCAGAGGACCAGCAAGGACAATGTATAGTCCCCCGCACAGTGCCAGGCAGAGTCCGCCTGACCGAAGAGGTTTGTTCCTGTTAGCATCACTGCCATTGATGGAAGATTTTTTTGAAGTTGAATTGTAGGTTGGCTACATTTTAGTTTTTAAAACTTGTTTCTTAAAGTTTAATATATAAAGAGAAAAGTTTCTGTTCATACGCTAAGTGTACAGCTCATTGAATTTTCATATACTAAATATTAAAGATATCTGTGTAAGAAAGGATCTCAGATACATTCAGCTGTTTGATCTTCAACAAAGGAGCCAAAACCATTTGTTGGAGGAATGACAGCTTCTTTAGCAAATGGTACTGGGAAAACTTGGTCTCCACATGGAAGAAGACTGAAGCTAGACCCATGATCCCACATGTGCTAAACTAAAAATGAATCAAAGATCTAAATATTAAAACAAAGACTAATCTACTAGAAGATAAAATAGGTAACTCTTGAAGTAGTATGTGTAGGCAAAGACTCTCTGAACAGAACTGTGACTGCACGTGAATTAACAGCAAGAATCAACAAATGGGATTGTATAAAATTAAAAGCTTCTTCATAGCAAAGGAAACAAACTAACAACCTACAGAATGGGCAAAAATTTTATTACCTATACTTTGAACAGAAAACTAACATCTCAAAAATCAAATTTAAAAAAAACTTCCCCCATAAAAGACACGATCAAAATTAGGCAAATGAAATGAATAGACACATCTCAGAAGAAGAAATACAGATAGCAAATAAATAAATGAAAAAAAGTATTCAACTTTGGGCCAGGGATACAGCTCAGTGGCAAAGCACCCGCCTGGCAAGTGCAAGGCCCTGACTTTCATTCCTGATACAAAAAGAAAGTTCAGCTTCATTGGCTGATAAATGAAAACTAAAGCAACACTAAGAATTTATCTTACTTCTGAAAGGATAGCTACCATCAAAAAAATCAAATAGTAATTGCTGGCATGGTTGCAGTGAAAAAGGATACTTTCTACATCGTTGTGGTCATGTAAACTAGTAAAACTATTATGAAAATCATTATGGAGATTTCTCAAAAACTACAAATGGAAAGTCCATTCAATCCAGCTATTACCTTTCTAGGTATTTTTCCAAAAGAGTTAAAGACAACAGCCAGGGTGGTGGCAGATGCCTATAATTCCAATACTTGGGAGGGTAAGGCAGGAGGATCATCAGAAGTGAGGTCAGCCTAGATTACATATTGAGTTCAAGTCCAGTTCAAACTACATAGCGAGTCCCTATCACAAAAAAGCAAGCAAGTAAGCAAGCAACCAACCAAACTACAGCAATACATGCATATCAATGTTGATAGTAGCACAATTCATAATAGCGAAATCTTAGAAGCAGCCTATATGTTCATCAACAGACAGATAGGTAAAGAAAATGTATATATATAATGGAATACCACTTGGCTACGAAGAAAGATAATTTCCCATATTTGTAGGAAAATGAATGCACCTTGAAAACAGGTCAAAATAAATTGGACACATAAGGTTAAATGTCATACAGTTTCTCTCATTTGAGTAATCCAAAGTAAGTAAACAGCAAAATAGAAGACTGATACAAAGAAACAAGAAGGTAGATCTTATGCATGTGGGAAGGGGAACCGAGAGACCAAGGGTTGGGAGAGAGGAAAAAGGAAGTTTAAAAGATTTTTAAGATATTAAATCTTCTACTTAAAAAAGTACACAAAACCGCCTATGCACATAGTCCTAGGTGACATTACAAGCAAGCCTTCACCTGGTTGTTCTGGTCTTATAAAAGTGTGCCTTCTTTGGAGTCATGGCTTGCCCCTTCCGGCAATACTGCCTCAGCTAACTTGGTTCCTTTTCTTTTTTTGCAGGCCTGTGGTGGATTAACTAATGGTCAGCTTGTGACACCCAGTTAAACTGAATCAGCATGGCTCTTGGTATGGAAGGCCTATCTGAGGATTACTGCCAATAACATAAAAGGTGAACTGGAGGGGGAAATGGTGAGCTGCTGATTCTCCTGAAGAATCTTGTCGTGATGGCTTTCCTGATATGAACTCAGCTATTCTATTGTCAGAGGAGCTTGGGTCCTTGCTGTCACTGGGGATGGCTGCCGTTCTGTTGCAGGGAGCTCTGGTCTCTACCTTGAGCTTACATTTCCTGGCTCCAGTGCAGATCTCTCAGCCTGCTGACACAGATGTTTCATCCTGTTGGTATAGACTTTCTAGTTTCCACCACTGACCTTGGGCCTTCTCAGTGCAGACCCTTGATACAGATTTGCATGAGGCATTCTCATGGGTTCTAGGCCTCCAGTTGGACTTCTTGAGGACATTGCCACCAGCTCTAGGATTTCAGTTGGACTTGTGCAGGACACTGCCATGAGATCTAGGCTGTCAGCTAGATTCTTTGGGTCTCCAGTGCATGGTCAGATGGCTTGCATTCTTCTGCATTTGACTTTTTAGGTGGATATTATAAAATAATCCTATAAATTGTGTCCTGAATTAAATCTATTCCCTTGCAAACCCTGAATACAGGTTCAAAATAAAATCAAATTCTTCTTGTGTAAGCACTGAACTGAGACTCTCTGGAGAGCAAAGACATATTTTTTAAGGGACCATCAGTAGGTTCATGAGCTTGGCAATAGGTTTTAAACTCAGCCAAGGAGATGAAATGCTTCACTATCCAAACAAATTGTACATCTACCAGGAACCATTTGGGGTTGTCCTCTTTGCTGGATGGGTAATAATGGGGACATGGTCTGGGTTAGGCTCCTTTACGGTCTTCATAAGTCCCAAGATGTGTGACTCTTTGCAGTTTCTTTTTTTTTTTTTTTTCATTTTTATCAGTACCAGGGATTGAACTCACGACCGCACACTTGCAAGGCAGGCACTTATGCCGCTGAACTAAATCCCCAGCCCCAACTTTGCAGTTTCTTGGTAGAAGAAAGCTTCATCCTCCAGCTCCACTGCTCTAAGGAGGTTCCAAGCCTGAGAATTTTGAACATCATCCCAGTAGGCTATCTGCCTGAACTGTGCTTTGAGATCCTCAGTGCTGAACTTTGCAATTATATTTTTCTTTAATCATCTCTCTGGTTCTGACTTCATCAGATGGTAATTGTTCCTGCAGTGATTCTCTCCACAGTGTTTTGGGCATGAAGTCTTCTGTAGACTAGAGTTCTTCACTTGAGTCGGCCTCTTACTTGAGTTCTGTTGTACATTTTCCTGAGAGCCCCTTCTTGTCTCAGTATGTGTCTCCCTGCAGCACACGAAACCATCCTCAGTGCTTAATAGCTCTTGCTGGGAAGATAAGCAAGTGGGACATTCTGAGCAGAACCAGCAGCCCCAGCCAGCCTCTGCTGGGGTCTCTGCATTGTCTGTCCAAAGAGGATAAGGTGTGGAGGATTCTGAAATTGACCAGGAGATATGAGAAACAACTCTACTATACTCTAAACCCTGTGTGGAACAGGCTGGAGACTAAGGAAGCCCAGAGGGGCTCAACCTTGGAAGAAAAGACAATGGGTGCTTACCTAAGCTTCTCAAGTCCTTTTTTCTGTGACCTGAGCCATTTCACCTCATTGAGCCTGCCCCTAAGCCTCCCTAGGCACTGTGCCCCCTGCACTCTAAAACAATCTAAGACATGTAATATACATGTAACAACTACACATAATGAATGTAATTACTGTAAATCACAAATGCAGACTAAAATAATAGTGATGATGATGATGATGATGATGATGATGATGATGATGATAAGGGGATCCAGGAAAAAAAAAAAAAAACCTAGGGGCTGGGGATTTAGCTCAGCGGCATAAGCGCCTGCCTTGCAAGCAGCCAGTCGTGAGTTCGGTCCCCGGTACCGATAAAAACGAAAAAGACCAAAAAAAAAAAAAAAAAAAAAAAATAAGGGGATCCAGGGAGGGAGAAAGGTGGTGAGGGGAAGGTGAGTAAAAAGAATCAATCTATGCTAAGTACTTGTACCTACTCCCTAAGATGAATGTAAACATCATGTACAGCAAACATACCAGAAAAAAAAAAGAAGACAAGAATTGTAGATGGGGTAGGTGAGGGAAGGGTATCTGCGCAAGTAGCACCTCATCAAGAAACAGGATGTGACTGGCTCCCTAGATGCACCCTTCTCTTCTCTTCCAGGCACAGCCCCACCGAGGATTCCCATTACCCTGACTTCTAACAGCCAGGGTTAGCATCACCTGCTTTTGCACTCTGTATAAAGGGACACTGAGACTTCTGTGTGTGGTTACCTTTTCTACCATTATGTGTGGAAGTCTTAGGTAGCATGTCAATTCTCAGTGCTATATCATAGCCCACTCTGTGGATATAACACTACTGATTTATCCATGCCACCATTAATGGGCATTGAGGTTCTTTCCAGTCTGAGGATATTATAAAGTGTGACTTTCAGACTACAGGCATATCTGAGGGAAGAACATCTGGAGGTGGAGGTGGGAGGTGGAAGCATAGAAATGTGCTCTAACATCGGTCCTCCTAAACCACTACTTCCTCTGTGGCTCAGATTAGTGATTTCTCTCCTTAAAGGTAGACAGATTAATATCTTTAGATCCTTGCTATGGATCTAAAACCCCTCCCACATACAGAATTTCTCATGTTGCCTTGTGCAGATGAATCTGAAACCATTAAATCAAGAGGGGAAGACCAGTCCTCATGAGAGTTGGGGTAGCTGGGATTCTACTTTGTTCTTGGTGAAGGGGGGGTCTGGCAGAGAAAACATGGCGGCTCCATGAAGTCATGTGGAGTTGTTCGGACAGTGAACTGCTGAGCCAGGCTGACAGCTCAGTGGGCATCACACAGCTGTAAAGTCCAGCCTCTCACTAACATAGATGGCTTTTCAGGGACACAGAGATCTGCATGCAGGCAAAGCCACATTGAGGTCTGATTGTTATGGATACAGAGACAGAGCAGTGGCTACACTTCAGTCTGGCAAATTTCACTGTCACTTGCCTGGAATATGTGCTTCATTTGTTATTATTAATTTAGTGATGTTGCTCATCTTTTTGGATGTATGCTGCTTTGTTAGAGCCCAGTATCTCACATCATAACTCTAGTAACATTATCTGAGTCTTTTGAAGTTCTAAGAAGTCATCTCTTAGGATAAAAACAAAGGGAGGAACAGCAAGCAGCATGAACAGAACGACAGGTCGAGAGACACCATCAAGCTTGTCTTTGTTATTAATGAGCCAGTGACCCCAGTCAAGCCTCTGTAACTCTCCAAACATCTCTTCATCCCTGGTTTCTATCCCCAGTTACTGCACCAGTGCAGACCTAATCTTTGTTCAGACCACACTATTTGAAGAGCCTTTGAGAGCTTTCCTGCTGTAGATTTTCTGAAACAAGGTCTCATCAGTCACTGCTCTCAAATCTATCACTAACTCTGGATGCCTGGCTTTTTATGGCATGGTCTCTTTCCCTCCTTTCCTGGTCTCCATGGTCTCCTTCCTGCCTTTTCCAGGTCCTGCCTTCACACTCCAACCAGTAGTGATGTCTCATCTGTGGTCGCTGATTCTTTGCACACTACTCTGCACTTGCTTCTGTCCTGGCCCATTTGACAAATTCCATCATTGCTCATCTTAAAAATGTTCATGCCATTTGACCCATTAATTTGTACTTGAAAACAAAGTCAAAGGCAGAAAAAATCATAAGAGGGAGAAAGACAGAAAGAGTTTTATACACAAATAATTCTGCTAAATGCAGAATTATTTATATTGTATAAAACCAAAACTACCGTAGATGTCTACTAACAGGGAACAGATAAATTATGGTTACTTGCAAAGTAAAAAATGGTGACAGAAAAGTTGTCAAAATATAATTTCTTGTTGAAAATATGGGTCCAAAAATATATATTGAATGTAAGCTGAACACTCATATAATTAGTTATTTAGGGAACTGGCAGTCTGGTAAAGCTGGTTCAAAGGAGAGCTTGAAAATGTGTAGTCACTGAGAGAAAAATGTTGAAACTGGATTACTAAATCAGATACAAAGTTGGTTGATACCTAGAGAGTGATGTTATATACCCTTTAGACAAAAATTACCTTGATCTTTACTAGTAGGAGTCATTTAAGAGTTGTTAGTCTTCTATGAGTTAACAGGTAACATTACAGAATCTGAGCCCCTAGAGTTTGGCAGGTCTTCTACAGCAGGGCTTCTTAGGGCTCACTGAGGAGTCCTGTTAAAATGTAGTTTTTGATCAATGAGGAGAGACCCAAGCTTCTACATTTCAAGTAAGTCCATCATGCTGTTGCTTGTCCAAGGGCAAGTTCCAGGAACTACATTCTTATAAAACTAGGACTAGACTGCATATATTCTTGTCTTCTGAGCAAATATGTGATTTATCACATGATTCAGAAATGTGAAAATTAATAAATTCAGTATCCTTTCTGCTATACCAGATGATGCAGGAAGATGATCCAGTCTGCAACAAAGGAGATGATGGTATTTGAAGCTAGAGTCTCTCAGTGTTTTTTCCCTTTCTACTTCAACATATATGTGTAAATGTTATTTCCATTGGGGGAATCTTAGCCATCTATCTATCTACCTTAGCTCATTCACCACTTCATCAATCCACTTTGTTTGCCCATCCATCCAACAGATGTGTGTACGTTGCCTGCTATGTGCAGATACTGTGGAGACTCGCCATTGAGTGAGCCCATCTCTGTCCTCAGAGTTCCATCAAACACACGTGAGACTCTATAATTGAAGAGTGCCCTGAGGAACTTCCTGAGCTGAAAAGTAAAGGATAAGCAGAAATTACCTCCTCAGAGAGGCAAAATCATCCAAAGGAGAGGGAACAGCATGTGCAAAGCCACAAGGACAGAGGTGAGACGCTGCCATCAGCTGGTAGACTGGAACAAATAGAACAAGAAGCCACAGGAAGAAGTTTGGATGAGGCTGATGAGACAAGCAAAGCTGGAATTGAAAATTATTTGCTAAGGGCTAAGGATACAGTTCAGTGGTGAACCACTTGTCTGACATGCAAAAGTTCCTAGGTTTGATGCTCACTACCATAAAAATAAATAAATAAAAATAAAAGAACTGTAGATGTAATTTGGTATGGTAAGGCATACTTGTAGTCCCAGCCACTGAGGAAGCTGAGATAAGAGGATCCCCTGAGTACAAGGGTTTGAGGTTAGCCTGAGTAACATGGTGAGAACCCACTGTCAACAACAAAGAAATATGTTTCATCCTAACCAGAATAGAAAGCTGTTGGAGGGTTTTAGAGCACAGGAATGGCATGATTTGCATTTTGTAAAGAACACTCTGGGTGGAGAAAGAATACAGATTAGAAAGAACAACTGGAAATGAGAGTGTAAGGGACAAACAGGTCCAGAGAGAGAGTTTCAGGGGAAATAGTTTCCCCAGGATAGATTCATGCTTCCACTAAGAAAGGAGATGGAATGAAAGGAAGAAAAAGACTGAAGATGAGATGTCTCTTGGCTTTAGAGAAGCAGTAATAGGGGTAGGAAGATGACAGAGGAGAAACTTTGACCAGCCAAGGATGGAATATGGCATGGCTACGGACTGGAGCTGGAGAATTTATGGGCTGGATTCCTACAAATCAAATAGAAGAAATGCAGAGCATGAGGCTTTGTCTTAACAAAGCCTTTGAAAAGGCCAGTGAGCACCCTGCCTGCTGCTCTAGGTTTAATGTACCTGAGGTTAGCATGCAGGTGTAAGGGAATGACCAGGAGCCAACTTCCAGACTAAGGCAGCTAAATCTAAACCACAGCAGATGATTTGCTTCTGTGTTTCTGGAAACTTTTATGTTTTGATCACTGCAAATATACTTTATGCAATAGCTGGAAATGCCCAGGTTTCTTTAAGACCTGAAAATATGACCACAATGTGGGTAGCCTGGATGGAGGCCTCCAGTGATAAAAGGCACAGGCTAGGGAGAACCACCAGAGAAGTTTCATGCCCAGTATTGGATGGCTGGAAGGTCAGTTACAATGGCAAGATGCTGACAGCAGTGTACATCACACACTTCTTTTAATAGAAAGTAGGAATTATATAAAGAGTGGGCAGTGAAAATATCTGGGACATAAAAACGACCATTTCACCTGCTTCTGACCATATGTAATAGATATTGAGGCTACTGGCAAAGGACGAGTGACATAGGGCTGCAGAGGCTAGAAAAAATGTCCTTAGCCAAACCATGCCTTAAATTGTTCCCAGGACACAGCTCAGAAAATAGAGAAAGGGACATGGAGATGATATAAATGAACAGAAAATAAACCGCATTTGGCAAGATGGACACAGTCTGTGCTGTGATAAACAGAGATGTCACATATGCCTTCATGCCCTCGACTTTCTGGATTTCAGAAACCCCTTGCTCAGTTAGAATATGCAGAGAAGAGATGGGGTGCTGCTAAACCATTTGCTATGAATGATGGATCATATTTGTAAGATACTCACTGTATACCAAGCTCTTTGCTGAGAGGTTTTACATCTTTTACCACTGGTGATACTTACCATCTCCCTTCAAAGGGGGAAGGGGACACAGCTCATTTACCTCAAGCAACAGAGGGTCCCCAGTGAGAGTAAATTCTCTTGACTGCATATCTGTGCATCTAGGTAAGGACTGGGCCATACAGAGAAGAGTTCCACAATCAGCAGAGGACTGAGCCTGAACACAATGTTCTCTGGGAGCATTGGAACTAAGGGTTACCTGGTTACCTCTAAGATGGAGGGTCAGCTGTGCACCACTCTACGATTCCTGCTGCCTGCTCAGAATAGCACTCCCTATGTGGAGGCACTGGGCAACAGGACAGCACAAGTCACAGAATCAAAGTATTAAAGATGACTCAGGGCTCACAAATTGGCAAATGGACAATCAGTCTTAGTTTTTCTACTGAAGAGATGAAGGACTTTAGGTACATCCCTTCATCTCCCTTTTTTAATAGAAATGGAAGTAGTAACAGTTCACAGAGGTGTCATGAGAGAAACAAAGATAAATATGTCACAAGAATTGAGCACCTACCAGCACACATCACTTAGCCCACTAAGACACAGAGCAAAGAATTCAAGATTTAAACACAAAATATCAAAGACTGGTTCTCTGCCCAGATCCTCCTAGTTTCCCTTTGTGGGGCCAGCAGTATGTCAGACCCCAGCCTTTGAATTCTTTTTTTTTTTTTTTTTTTGTCTTTTTTTGAGACAGGGTCTTGCTATGCAGTTCAGGCTGGCCTTAAGCTCACTTTGTAGCCCAGGCTGGTCTCAAATTCACAATGATCCTCCCACCTCAGCCTCCCAAGTGCTGGGATTACAGGCATAAGCCACCACGCCCGGCTTAGCCTTTGAATTCTTTCCCTGCTGTCTTGCCCAGCATGCATGGAGAAAAGGGGAAGTGGCCTTGTAAGGGACTCACAGGTCCAGGAGTACGAAAACTTGGCTCATTTGATCCATGGCAGGACAAGCTCTGGTGCTGTTTGGGCTCCAGATTTCTCCACAGGCTCAGGCTGTGGTAAAGATGTCCCCTAAAATCTCACTCAGACTCGCTCATCCTTTTCCCATCATGGCCCCATTCTGCCTCTTTCTTGGGTTCCCCATGAGCAGCTTCCTAATATACCACCTCTGCACACACCTCCATGTCAGGATGAGCTTTTGAGAATCCAACCCAAGACACCATCTGACTCATCTTGAGTATCCGACCTTCCTTCCCTCGCTCACCTAGACACTGCCTTCGGCACTCGTTTGGGGGTCACTTCACACGTGCAGCTGTCTTGACCTATTCAGCACAGGCATTTTTGCGCCCATCATCATATCATGATACAAGGTTGTGTGTGTGTGTATGCATGTGTGTGCATGTGTATGTGTGTCCATGGATGTGTGTGTGTGTTTACCTGTTTGGTGTGGAGGATAAGAATTTCATTGGCTCATACTTATTGGGAGTATAGTTGATGTCTGGTAGAAAAGCACTAAAATATAACTTTCATATCAGTGGCTTCCTTGGGGACCCCAGGAAACAGGAAATCGCAGATACTCTGCACCTGATTCAGCCAAAGCATATTTCAATTTTGAAATAGGTTATGTAAAACAAACAAACATAATGATGATGATCATGATGATAACAGAAAACTCATTTAGAGTTGAGGACTACTATTCATTTGGTCCACCACTCTTGGCCATCTCTGATGCAGTGGGGGCCACTAGTAACTGCTGCCAATGTTGATACACCATGCACAGGCTTTATAACATGACAGTACTGATTCCTCCTCAACAGTATGACAGATATTCCCTACACATGACTAAAGTGCCACATCTTTACTGATACAAAATCTTCTACTTCCCTCCACTTCCTCTGTCATCATTTCTTATTGCCAGTTGACAGCATTCTAACCCTTCATGTCCACCCTTGACCCTATGATTCACCATCCACTCATAACCAGAGATTTTTAAAGAATATACGTCATATCACAGCATTCCCTGCTAAAAGCAGAAGCTTCCCTGTCTAACTGTTCACTGGTGTTACATGACACAGCCTGTGTCTTCAATCCTGGCTCTCATCACTGTTGACCATATACCTGCTACCATGGCTTTTCAGTGGCTTGAAAAAGCCAAGCTATTTGGGTCTGCATACAGCTCTCCTCTTCTTCAACTGGCATACCCAGTTGAAGCTACCCTTATTGCTTGGCAAGCTTGCTCTTTCTCACTTTCTAGGTCTTAGCTGCCTTCCATCCCTTGGTTCCTAATCCAAAGCAGGTTGTTGCTTTAGGCTAGCCTCCACTGCAAACAAAACATGCTTGTTTTTTAGCCGCTATTCTCCTTCTGCTCCCTCAGTCAGCTGTGGGAGAGCAGGACCATGTCTGTCTTGTTCCTCACTGCATCTCCAGAGCTCAGGACAGTGCCTACCTTTATCAAGCCTCTAATAAATATGGGAGGTTTATCAACAAACAAACAAACCAACAGCTACCATTAAAAACATGATCTATGTGTTTGCAAGCTGTTCTGGGGTAGCTCTCAACAAGAGCTTTTTTGGCACCCAGAGGTTAATTCTCATACATGGTAACAGTGAGTGAAGAGAAAGATCCACCCGTCATTTGTTGCTGATGGAACAGGACAGGGGTGATGGTGATCTTCCAATGCCCCTTTCCATCCTATATCATAATGTAACTTAAGGATCAAGAAAGACAAACTATTGTTGCCTGAAACATAATTTTATCAATACCTGGCCACAAGTCACAGCCTGACTTGTGATAATAAAATTTTAATCTTTGCATTTAGATGCAAAGGACCGGTACATGGCATCTTTTGAAGTAATCTTTGCTGTGTTGGAAGACACCCCTTCCAGTGGAGATACTCTGGCTTGTGCCTTTGGTTAAGGCAATGTTAAGGCACAGCAGGAAGGGGCAGTGCAGGGGTGCACTCAACAGCTACCATGTTTAGCCATCCTGCTAGGACAGTGATCTTGAGATTTTTATAGACCAAATGCCAAACTGCAACCCAAAACCCACTTACTTATCACAAAGTGCCAACATTGCAATTAAACCTGAATATTGAGGTTTTAGTTGAGAAAAAAACACACACATTAACACCGTTAGTGTTAAAAGTAAAACACAGAAACATGTATGCCATAGGTTCATCACTACTGTGCTAGGAGCTTCAAGCTGATACTGTTGGATCCTTTCAATTCCAAGAAGCAGAAAGTAGTTTTCCTGTGTTACAGACAAGGAAACTTGTCTGTTTCAGACAGACAACTGAGGCTTATAAAGCTGATCTGATTGCAAAGTCACACGGTTAGTATGTACCTGCAATGTGAAGGTAGGCTTTTCTGATTTCAAAGAGGGGATGCACAGGAAACAGCCAAAAAGATGAGAACTACTTGAACCTAGGTGGCTTTAGCAGACACGCAATGGGAACACACTGTTCTGACCCACAAGTGCTTGATGGGTGGGTTTATCTGGGGGGAAAGCAGGCTGTGTGCTAACCGAGACTGAGAAGAGAAAGCTCTGGCTGGGCAGAGAGCCTGGTCTGGGCCAGGCTCCACAGGCATGCCTTCAAACCAGTCAGTTCTTTCTTTCCACAGGTGACAGTTTGCCTTTGTTTGGCTTCGATTATCCCGGATGGCTCCGTGCGTTCCTGTGACTGAGTGGCTGCCAGGCAGAGGAGGCACAGCACCAAGCTGGGGGCCCAGCATTTCACACCATTCATGGCTTAGCCCCTCTGAGATGCTGAACAAGTAATTTCCTCTCCCCAGGTATCAGAGACCCATTTTTTCACTAGAGGACAGGACTTTAGAGGTTCTCAGCCAGGGAGAAAAGTGGACACTCTGTAGACATCTTAAAATTATACACAGCTTTTCTCCTCACGTGAAGGACAAGGGCCACTGATGGCAGTGTGACACATGAGTGAGGCAAATGCCTCTCTCTGGACGTACGGTTTCCATGGCAGAAGGTCCCAAACATCTGCCCCATCAAACTGCCAGGAAGCATTACTCATTCAAGCACATTATTTCTTAAAAGAGCACAAAGCAAGAAGGACACATGCTGCCTCCCATCTTTGGACAGAGATTTTCATATTCGCTTACTGATGCTGTCATTTGCCCAGGAAGCTGTCACCAAAAAATGATCTGGATGACTGAACAAAGATTCTTGCTCACATGACAGTAAGACAGCCCAAGTTTGGCCGGCCTGATACTGAGCTTCACTACTACTGAGCATACTGGAGGAGAATCATGTCCCTTTCAGCAGCCTGGTATTGAATGCCCTCCCAGAGCCAGGTATTCCTCTTCTCAGAGGAAAATAGGGAACTGCCCCTAGCCAATAATGACAAGGGACCTGGGCCCCACAGACCGAGGTCTCACCCCAACCAAAGAGAAGCTTCTGGCTGTCTCCAGAGCAGGGATCAAGACAAGCCAGGGTCAGTTGGGCATTGCATCCGGGATACCAGATTTTTCCTGTGACTATTCTGAGTGTGTAGTCCTGGTCCCTCAAGTTCCTTGCCTTCATTTATACCCCTTTTTGATGCCCTCGCTTCTTTGAGCAAGTCTGAGAACTCCCAGATATCCTTCCAACCCACTCTGACTCTGCTGGAGCTGTGTCAAGTCAGATTAGCTTGTTTTGGTTGGTCTTGAACATGTGCCACAATACTACCTGGGAAGTAGCCTGGAGATTTTGCATATATGCAGTGGTACTGCAGTTCATGAACTTACCCTTTCTACAATTCTGGCTGCAAACTGAACTGGATGAGAACTAAGTCAGATTCAATGGTAAGGTTCAGTGCTAACCTTATAGGGAAATCTGATTCAGTTCTCATGCAATTCAGTTTGTGACCAGAATCATGGAAAGAATTAAGTTTGTGAACTGAGGTATATGCATATTGGTATGCCCTCCCTGAGCCAGGTATTCCTCTTCTCAGAGGAAAATAGGGAAAATACATATCCATATGCATGTATATGTAGTATTTGTATGTTTATCACACACAAGGCAAATGCCTTAAGAATCAAATACATATTTGTAGTTATTCCCCCAAAAGCTTTGTACCACATTGTTGTACTATGGTATAAAAGATACAAAAAATCTCAGGAAAATTCTTTGATTTTCCTATCAGTCAAATTTACCACCATGTACTCTTTGTGGTAAAAAAATCTAATTGTTTTCTTCTTTTCACCCACATCCTGCTGGATACCAAATCCAAGTATACTTCCTGTTTATCCCAAGGCCATCACAACACAGTGCTGAATCTAAATCTTGTGAAGTTGGGCCTGATATAAATTTGGTGGCTAACCTCTATGGAAATTCCCTTCAGATGGATGGCTGACAGAAAGCCATGAATTCAGGAGAATCATACAGGAAAACATGTGTTCTAAACATGAAAACCTTCCTACTTATAAAAGATTGTCTTTCCCTTCCAAGAAAGTTGAGAATACACTGTAGAACTTCATCTTAGCTTATGGACTAAAAAGGCAACCATGGAAAGGAGGGTATTATGCGATCCTTGTACATAATAATGTTTTTTGAAAATATGGCAAACTCTTAGTACTCAGAACTCTTAATAATAAAACTATCATCTCATGTTCAAAATGAAACAGAAATTGATGAAAATAGTATCCTAGGAGAAGACAGATGACTCAGAATCACACAACAGGATGTTAAGCAATGTCTTCCTGGGTCCCACAGCTTTCTCTTCTAATAAAAAGTGTGCCCGGAGATTTCACCTGTAGGAAACCTATTAACTATTTCCATTGACTCTAACTGTTCACACTGTGGTCTACCAGAAAATTCTGAGCCTCTGAGATTAGATGCATGTTTCATTCTATGTAACTTTAACCAGAGCTATGATAATCAATAGGGAACTACTGTCTCCTCTCACTTCCTGGGTGAAGGTCTGAATTGGTAGTTAAATGACCAGTAGGAAGGGGCAAAACACAAAAGCCAACTGAAAATATTTGACCCACCAGAAAAAACTAAGCCAGAGCAGTGAATGACTTGAGCATTTTTCTTATCATTTATATTATTTAAACTAGTGCTTGGATGAATGGTAATTCAGGCAAATAGAGGAGTCCAGGTCTACCTCAGACACTCCATCAGTGGTAAATAAGCTTAATTTTCAATTGACTGGAGTCAACTTCCAGAAAAGTGCCTGAGTCACAGGGATGCTGTACTCCTCAGTGAATTCATCCAGAGCTGAGTGTGCTGCTGGAAGGTGGGGCAGTTGGAGGCTGGTCACTTAGAAGCATGTCTCCCCTATGCTCAGCTGCCCAGCTGCCACGAGCTAAGTAGCTCTGCTCTGCTCTGCTCTTGTGCTGTGATGTCTCTGCCTTGGGGATGGAGGATTATGGTCTGAAGTCTCTAAAACCATGGCCAAATAAAGCTCTTCTCCTTTAAGTTGCAATTATCAGGTGTTTTGTCTAGTGATGAGTAAGCTGGTCCATACACCACCCTTGCATGGAGTGTGGGGTGCCTGAGCCTGCACACACATTGCCAGACCTCACCCCTTTAGGCATTTTTGATCATTCAGGGCTCACGGTTACGCTCCTCTCTTGGTCATCAAAACCAGGAATTGCAAAGGACTGTTTTTTTCCTGTGGGAATCTTTCCCAGCCAGGGTCTTGAAAGAGTGAAATTTGGTCAGACCTGCATCCTGTTATTCCAACATGATCATCTTCATTTTTAGAAAGTAAATTAACATGCTATTTTTGTGTTAAATATATAATCTTACGAATTTATCACTTTGTAAACTTGCCATATTAACATTGGCTCTTCCATGAAAGGGTAAGTCTCTCTTGAGAAGGTACACTGTCTGGATGAGGTGCTGAAAGGAAGCATCACTGAACATCAGTTCTGAGCAAGTCTACTTCCCCAGTGTAGAGGTTAAACAATGCGCGGGTAAGAACAAAGGCAGAAGTGCAAGCCACACTTCCCCGATATCCTCTCACTCCCACAGGCAGGGCTTGAAGTTTGCCTCACCTTCCCATGTCCTAATCTTTGTGGCCAGCTGCATTTTATGGAAAATAATTGGGCAGGCTGGGGGTGAGACACAAGGTTCTAGGTCTTGGCAATTTGGATATGACCTCTTCAAGTTAAACAACTTGTTTTTGGGACACCCAGTATTTATCCACAGAAAAATGTAACTGGGAAGGTAGATGAGGTTTCAGAGGAAGGTCTAAGAAAGATAGAAATAGTCCTGGCTTCGGAATGGAAGAACAAGTCCCCTCAAGGGTACTTCCAGACTATTTTTCCTTTGACCAATCACAGCAGCAAATGTTTACACAGTTCTCAAAGAACAATGCTAGCACAACAAGAACAACTGTAGAAACTCTCCCTGGGGGCCAGAAAGCCAAGGTAGTATGGTTTGGGGTCTACCACAAAGCCTGCTTGGCTCAGAAACTATCTACCATCAAACTCCAGCTCCACATCTGCATTCACTGGGCTGTACTTGGTCTCTGAGGAGGGCTGTGGCAGGGTGGCAGACTCACCATCATTTCTTCTGGGTTCCCATTGGGTACTTCCACCACCTGCAGGGCAGACTCCACCTTCACCTTAGCCCGAGCCATGAACTGGATGACAGATGAACTGTCCTGTGGAAGAAACAAGAACACAACTCACTGTAAGCTTTTTCAAAGACATTTTTTCCTTGAGAGGCATTGGGCTGCACTGATATTCCAAGACTGCACATACCAGACAAAAATGTTATCATTCAACTAGAAACTTGCCCCCTCCAAGGGACCCACATAAACATGACTTCCATTGTCTCCCTGGAGGACTGTTTCAGATCATAGTGGATACAGAACTATCACATTTGCCAGGAATCAACATGTATAAGTTTATGGGCTGGAATTTCCCAGTGGAAAGAGCCAGATATTTAAATACTGATACTGATGTACTCACAAAGAGTTGAGAGTAAATAAAGCCATTTAAATGTGTACAACACATCTGAAAAAGGCATTCTGAAAAAGGCATCTGATTTCCATTTTGTAGGCATCTCCCTGCCCTGACCACAACCCTCAAACCCTTTCCATAAATTACTTTTAACTCTTTGTTTGCTCTTAAATGGAAATATTTTGGGTCAAAGCCATTGAACATTAAAGAGATTACTCATTGGAGAGATGAAGGAGAGGAAAACATCTAGCTTATGAATGGAGCCTAAAAACAAAAAAGGACTGGGTTCAGGCATATCTCTGAAAAACTGCTCGCCAGCAGAAGCAGGCAGAAGCCTTGCTGTAGGCACTGATTCAAAGCCACTGATGCAGAAAACTGCTCCAAAGAGGGATGGAAATGCAGTGTGGAAAAATACAGGAATTGGCAAACCACAGCTCAGGGGAGCCAGTGGTACAGAGTGTGTGCAGTGACTGTGGGAGAGAGGCGCCTGGCTTGCCTTGTAGAAATAAAGGGCAGAGAACAGAACGTTCAGCAGTCTCACAGGAGTGGCTAGGGCCCTGCAGTAGGAACCTGCTGCATTAATTCAGCTTGTTTGTCACTCAAGAAGGCTGCCAGGGCATGGACATGTTCCCCAGAATTCATGTGTTGGGCACTTATCTCCCAAATCATGTGTTAATGGTATTTGGATGTGAGGTCTTTGGGAGGTAATTAGGGCTAGATGAGGTGATAAGGACGCACTTCCTATGATGGCATTAATGGCTTTAGAAGAGGAGGAAAAATCTGAGCTTGCACACTAGCCTTGTCTCACCATAAGGTGCCTTTCATGTCAGGTTAAGATGTAGCAAGATGGCCCTCGCATGTCAATAGATACCAGAATCCCAACCTCCCACTACTGTGAGCCAAATAACCTTCTGTTCTTTATAAATTTCTCAGTCACGGATATTTTGTTACAGCAACAGAAAACAAATTCAGAGGCTCACACTCAGATGTCATCTTGTACTTATTTTTGGCTAAACCTAAAAGAAACAGGAACATGGAAGACTCTTTCTCTGCAAATATTTCAAATGTGTCCTTTGTTAATCTCCACCAAAAAAAATCACAAAAGTTTTCCTGGGATTGAACATGAGGATACTAGTTTATATACTGTACCTGTGAGTTATGTACAAATTATCATTTTTGTGTGTGATGTTGGCAATTGAACCCTGGTAAATGCTGTACTACTGAGTTATTCCTCTGATTCTTTGTCTTTTTCTAAATGACCATAAACAAATTTAGTATTTTTCTTCTAAACATGTATTAATTGCACACATTAATGGGGTTCAGTGTAATATTTCCATGCATGCATATAGTATGCACTGATCAAATACAATCTTTATTTACCTCCCCCAACTAAATATATTTAAATGCTTCTAGGAAGCTTATCATTTAAAGGAATTGCTCCACTAAATTCACATTAAGCTACAAATAATATTGCATGCAAACAATCTGTTAAGAGATTTTATTTTGTGGTACTGGGTATGGAACCCATATCTTGTACATGCTGGGCAAGCACTCTACTGAGTTGTATTCCAGCTCTTCCTTTTTAAAAAATTAATTAATGTTTTTGAGATAGAGTCTTGCTATGCTGCCCAGGCAGGGATCAAACTTCTAAACCTTTTACTTTAGCTCCTGACTAGCTAAGATCATATGTATTCACCACATGCATGGCTTCTTTTAGATATTCAAGTTTTATAAATTCGTGGTTTTAAGTACTGTATCAGGGCATATTGTATTTTAAATCATCAACAACCACTGTATCATTATCTTGGATGTTAATAATGATGACAGTGATAACTGCCAAAGTTAAAGCCAAGCATAGAGCAGAGCCTGGCATAGAACAGATTTCTGGTGGTTGTAGAATCAGTAAAGAAAGCCTTGTGGACTGAAAAATGAATACCTTCAAGGAAAGCTATATCCTCTAATGGTTTAAAAAATCAGATCTTATATTTCAAATGAAAACTTGTTAAGGTCAAAATGATAAAATCTCAAATTTCTTGTCCAGGCCAGACCTTGAGGTCAAAATGTAAATAAATAAATAGATAAATAAACACAAGTCTTGGTCCAGGGCAACCACAAGACTGGCACTATTCCACATTCCTTGGGGAAGCTATCATGGCCCCTGAGACCATCTGGATCAACTCCCTGAAGGAGGTAGTAGCTGGTGTCAGGGGAACAGCTCTCAGCATTTCAGTTCTAGGAGCAACTGGGGGCCCATCTGGCTTCCAGATCAGTTTTGTTTCAGGCTTTCCTTTGCACCTGGAGCTTCTGCCAGAAAGGCACTTGGAGAATGAGCCTCCAGGGCTTTATATGACACCTACAGTTTTCTGCTGTCCTGCCTGGGGCTCCACTGGTATGGCTGAATCATACGGACATCAGTTGGTGGGACATGTTCCTTTGCAAAGGGTCACTATTGGTCATTAGGAGAGAGATGCAGAAGAACCAGCCTGTAGAGCTACCCACAGTTAAATTAAGTCATATAACTGAACTTCAAGTAGCAGCCCTATGGATAGAAGAGAAAGGAGACATCAGCAACACCATTTATCAAGAGAATGGGCAAAACAGTAAGTGTGCAGAATCACGGGCCTTGACTTGGGGACCCATGTATAAAGGGATTCTTTTTTTATTTTATTTTTTTTATTTAAGAGGAAAAAGAGAAAAACACAAAACAAACCAAAGCGGTGTAAGGGTACACGTAATACAGAACTACAAAAAAACAAAACAAAACAAAAAAAACAAAACAAACAAACAAAAAAAAACATAACTGTAAGAAATCACCTGTTAGTATATTACATATTATCATCTTGAAAATAGTTCCTCAAATCACAGTATCAAAGAATACAAGGTGGACATTCAAACAGTGAGACTGCAAACAGCTGTGTTCAATGATCCAAAAACATTGATACAGTCAGCTATTTAACACCCCTAAACACACTTGCTGTTATATCCGTTAGAGCTCTTTTTCTTTTTTTTTTCCTCTCTTTTTTACAACAAAATTCACGCACTTTGGATTTCATTACTCCTTAGTGCTTATTACTTTTTTTTGGGGGGGGAGGAGAATACAGTCAGATATGGCAAAACAAAGCTGTCAGTCAATACCAAGGATAGACATAGCACATGGTGTAGAACAGAGTACAAGTTTATCAACAATGGTTATCAACGTTGTCCCTTGTTTCCTTAAAAAGAATTGTCTATCTCATTAGATATTATAAAGTTGGACAAAACAGTAGAGAACAAGACCAATAAAACTTAGGCATTGTAAACATTACAGGACTTCCAAAGAAGACAATAGTCAAACCAGAATGGGTATCTTAGTGAATCTTATTGTCTTCAAAGTAGTTGCCTATGTCTTCAAACTTGATACTACCATATAGAATGGAACAGAGTCTAATCAGTCAAAACAAGATCGTGGGAGTACTACAGGACTTCAAAACAAGTTAATAGGAAATCAAAAAGAGTTACTATTTATATATCCTAATTTTTTGAATTTTTTCTTTAATTAAGACAAACATAAGAAATGACTAAATAATTTTTTTAAAACAATAAGGGGGAGATTGAGATAAAACAGGACATAACAATATAACAATAGAGGTCACAGTATGACTGTTTCAACAACCTAGTACTTCACCACCATATAACCTGACTTAATAGTAGTTACCATAGTGTCTTTTTCCTTGATATATTTGGATAAAACTTCATATACTCTAGCTTCAAATATTTTCAAATCAAGAAGCCCAGAATAAAGCCTTTCTAATTAATGAGTGAAAACTTTATAAGGCTCCAAGGCCACCTAATGGGGAATCATGATTACCACATATTTTTATATATTTGAATCATTACTTACATTAGGGAAACTATTCGGTATTCACACATGCGAGATTGATTTATTTCACTTATGAGTATGGTCTCAAGCTGCGCCCATTTATTGATAAATATCTCAATGTGATCCTTCTTTATAGCTGAATAATACTCCATTGTATAGAAATACCACAACTTTTTTATCCATTCCTCAGTTGATGGACACTTGGGTTGTTTCCAAGATCTGGCGATTATAAATTGTGCTGCTATAAACATAGGTGCACATATATCACTGTGGTATGATGCTTTCAGTTCTTCTGGGAATATGCCTAGAAGTGGAATAGCTGGAATAAATGGGATTTCCAGTCCCAACTTTTTGAGAAATCTCCAGACAGATCTCCACAAAGGCTGTACCAGTCTACACTCCCACCAGCAGTGCAGGAGAGTTCCTTTTTCCCCACAGCCTCTCCAGCGTTTGTTGTCGGTTTTCTTGATCCTGGCCATTCTTTCAGGAGTGAGATGGTATCTCAGTGTGGTTTTAATTTGCATTTCTCTAATGACCAATGATGATGAGCATTTTTTCATGTATTTATTTGCCATTTGCATTTCTTCATCTGAGAATTGCGTATTCATCTCAGATGCCCATTTTTGGATTGGATCTTTGAATTTTGGAGGTCTGAGTTTCTTTAATTCTTTATATGTTTTAGACAAGAGGCCCTTGTCTGAGAGAGAGTTCACTAAAATCTTTTCCCAGTTTTTGGGTTTTCTTTTCACTATGCTGGAGATTTCTTTTGACATGTAGAAACTTTTTAATAAGAAGTGGTCCCAGTTATTGATTCTGGGAAGTATTTCCCGTGCGGTTTGAGTCCTGTTCATGAATTCTTTACCTACTCCTATGTCTCCAAGGTTTCTACCTAATTTGTCTTCCAATAGATTTAGTGTTTCTGTTTTAATATTCAGATCTTTGACCCATTTAGATTTTAATTTAGTACATGGTGATAGACATGGGTCTAGCTTTAGTTTTCGGCAAATGGAGAGCCAGTTTTTCCAGCACCATTTATTAAAGAGACTGTCGTTCTTCCAGTGAACCTGCTTGGCTCCTTTATCAAAGATAAGGTGGTTGAGTGTGTTCGTAGTTGTGGTTGTATCTTCTAATCTATTCCACTGATCTTCGGCTCTGTTTTGATTCCAATACCATGTTGATTTTACTACTGTTGCTTTGTAGTATAACTTCAAGTCAGGGATTGTGATGCCTCCTGCTTTGTCTTTGCTGCTTAGAATTGCCTTTGCGATTCTAGGTCTCTTCTGGTTCCAGATGAAATTTAGGAGTGATTTCTCTAGATCTATAAGGTATGTTGATGGAATTTCTATTGGGATTGCATTGAATCTGTATAAGAGTTTTGGGAGAATGGCCATTTTCACAATGTTTGTTCTTCCTATCCATGAGCAAGGGATGTCTTTCCATTTTCTGAGATCATCTTCAATTTCCTTTTTCAGTGTATTATAATTTTCACTGTATAAGTCTTTCACTTCTTTCGTAAGAGTAATTCCTAAATATTTCATTTTTTTGCTTGCTAATGTGAATAGTCCAGTTTCTCTTATTTCCCTCTCTGTAATTTTGTTGTTCGTGTATAGGAATGCTATTGATTTCTGAGTATTGATTTTGTATCCAGCCACATTACTGAATTTATTTATTGTATCTAAGAGTATTTCAATGGAGTTTAGGGGGTCTTCTATGTAGAGTATCATGTCATCTGCAAACCATGATAATTTAACTTCTTCTTTTCCTATCTTTACCTCTTTTATTTCTCTTTCTTGCCTAATTGCTCTGGCTAGTACTTCCAGTACTATATTAAATAGGAGTGGTGATAAAGGACATCCTTGTCTTGTGCCCGATTTTAAAGTAAAGGCTTTCAATTTTTGGCCATTTAGTATGATGCTGGCTGTTGGTTTGTCATAAATGGCCTTTATTATATTGAGGTAAAGACCATTTATTCCAATTTTCTGTAAAGTTCTTATCATGAATAAGTGTTGGACCTTATCGAAGGCTTTTTCTGCATCTATAGAGATGATCATGTGATTCTTATTTTTGGCTTTATTGATATGGTGGATTACATTTATTGATTTGCGTATGTTGAACCATCCTTGCATTCCTGGGATGAATCCCACTTGGTCATGGTGTATAATCTTCTTGATGATTTGCTGGATCCTATTTGCCAATATTTTATTGAGGATTTTTGCATCTGTGTTCATTAGGGAGATCGGTCTATAGTTCTCTTTTATAGTTGGGTCTTTCTCAGGTTTTGGTACTAGAGTAATATTTGCTTCCAGGAATGACTTAGGAAGGATTGCTTCCCTATAAAGGGATTCTTTGTGACACGGTGCTTCCAGTCTCTTTCCTGGAAGCACAGGACATCAGTGGGGCTCTAGTTAATGCCAGGTCCTCTAAAACTGTCCTTTATAAAGAAGACTGACCTTAAGAAAGCACTCTGTGCGAGCCCAACTTCTTAAAACCCGTAACTCCTCAGCAAATCCAGAAAGCTGGAGCTGGACCCTGCTCTTCACAGATGTGTGGAGGCTGCAATAGGTATGGAAGGTGGGAAAAAATATCTCCCAGTTCCTGCATCATTTTAGGTCAGCAGGTCATTGCTATGTCTAATTTAAAAATAATCACAAAATGACTATTCTAAGGATATGTATCCACCAACTGATGGGTTTATACATATTAATTGTTTAGTCTCCAAAGCAAACAAATAGAATCTCTAAGGAAAATATGCATTTTTTTATCTTCACATGTAATTATTTTTATAGTGTCTTGTTGGAAATAGCTTCTCAGACTCAGTAGTTCTTAAAATAGATAACAATAAATTTATACAATTCTTTAAAAGATTGAGGTATTTATTGATAAACTTTTGGAATTGCTTTGGGTAAACGTTTAATAGCAAAGTGACCTGAGGGTCAACAGTGAAGCTCTTATGAAATAAGGGATCATCTAAACAAGAGGTGAGGAAAGTTAGGACTCATAGGTTAGTTCTGCTCCTCTGCCAGTTTTTGTAAATAAAGTTTCTACGTATCCTATAAGTGCTACCTATGGCTTCTCTGACACAATACAATAGCTAAGCCCAGCAGTATGGCCTTTAAAAGCTAAAATAGTTCCAACTGGCCTTTATAGGCAAGTTTGCCAGCCCATGATGAAGAACATGGCCTCCACACTAGAAAAAGTGGCATCGTCTACGAGCATGTCAGAACTGCAGAACCTCAGACTCTACCCACAAGGAATTTGAGTTGTAACAAGGTCTTCAGATGATTTTGATTCAAACTGAAAAATTAAAAACTTGAATGTGCAAACAAAGCACATGAAAAGCTCGACAAACTCAAGATGCTGATTGAGCAGCTCTGCAGTAGAGTCCAAAATTATGCATTTCTAACAAACCTAGGTGACAGTGCTGGTCCTCAGACCAATTTTAAGTAGCAAGTCACTAATTCCCTCCATCCCTGCATCTGGGGGAACTGCTAATGGTATTTACCAGAAAACTTTCAAAAAGTGCAGCCCAAGTGTCAGGAGGAAACCAGCTCAGATGCTTGTCAATGAAGCACAAGCTTGCTGGTGCTCAGAACTTACCTTCTTCAGTATTTCTGTGTTCAGCAGCATGTAAACATCTATTGTACGACTTTCTTCTTTATTGAGAGCGCTAAGGTTACAGTGTATTGTTAGGCAAGGCATTCCTGGATTTTCACAGTCCTGAGGAGAAAATCAGAATTATCCAACAGTGTTAAAAACACAGACAAATCCACAGCCATTTACAGAGCAACAAACTCTAGAACTTCTGCTTTGTTGACCAAAGTTATTCCAGGCAGAGCAAAAGATAAAAGATGACGGGATGGGGATATAGCTCAGTGGAAGAGTGATTGTCTAATATGTGGGAGGCCCTCGGATAGATCCGCAGCACCAGGAGGGAATAAAATTTAAAAAAGGAAGAAAGATGTAAATTATCTTTGCTTGCCAGAAGAGGGTATCTGAGGGGTTTCCTATCTGGTAGGTGCCAAGGCATGCTGGTGTCAAACTGGAGAAAGCAGCTCTATGTAGTTCATCCACTGAAAAGTTGGATTTCACAGAGAAGTCCAACTGTTCCCAAACAGGTATGCCCATATTCTTTTTTTTTGTTGTTGTTCTTTTTTTTTGTACCAGGAATCAAACTCACGACCTCATACTTGCAGGCTAGCACTGTGCTGCTGAGCTATATCCCCCGCCAGGCATCCCCATATTCTGATAGTTTTTCTGTGAGTTTTCAATATAAGATAGGTTTTTCTATATTATGTAATTTTTGCCTGTGTAATGGCAAATACACATTCATGGTTTTAAAAACACTTTCAGTACTGGGGATTGAACCCAGAGTCTTTTCACTGAGCTGTATCCTCAGACCTTTTTGAGACTGGATCTCACTAAATTCCCCAAGTGGGACTTGAACTCTGCTTCATCCTCATACAGTCCTTAAATTATAGGCACGTGCCATCATGATCCACTCATGGTCATTTTTAAATGTAAATCAGAGGCTATGAAATCATGTAACTTTTGCACAAGAAAACAAATTAGCAAAGAGAAACAAATAAATTCCAGATTACAAAAGAGAAATTTTTCTCTTCTATATTTGTTTATCTTCATTATGTTTCACTTGGTAAAATTTTCAGACAGATACAAAGTTATATCATTCTAGGTAGATACTACTACACCCAATGACTCTATAAGGTTTTAAAAACAGGTGTTTAATCCTCACAATGGAAAAAAAAATCAAACTTTTCAAGTGGCAAATAGGTGTGCCTCTCTACCAGGGAAGAAAGTGAGAATAGACAATAAATGTAAATGAACTGTACCCAGACAGAAATACAGAGCTAGAGAAATGTAACCAAAGACACACAAAATAGAGTCTTTGAAAAAATATTATTATTACATCTTCAATGTTTTCATTTTTTAAAAACGCTGAAGTAGAACATATATAATAAACAGAATAAACATTAAGTGTAGTCACCAAGCACATATGTTTTTATATATGTTTATACCTGGATAATCACCACCCTGACCATGACACACATTTATGTCCCCTAAGTAGGTACTCTTAGGGCCCTTCCTGTTGATATTCTACAGAAGTGTACCTGTCTTGACCACTGATTAGTTTCTCCTGTTTCTGAAACCATGTAGGTGAAATATTCCAGTATGTGTCCTTTTGTCTTTACCTTCTTTCACTCAATATCACATCTCTGAGATTTACTTGTGTTGTTATGAGGAGTAGCACTTTCCAAAGTGGTTGTTCAAGAACCATCATGCTTGTTACAATTCATACCAGTTGAGGAAATATTTCACTTTGTGCTTGATGGGTTGTAAATGCTTTTCCTTTGCCAGGCAAAGGAAATGGAATATAAATTTAACACTTTGATTGAAACTTCAAGCTGAAAAATAAGAGTTGACCACAGTCCTTGTGACTTTATAAGTCAACTGATGAAAGCCAGATTTGAGAAATAACAAATACCAAATAGAAAACTGGCCTTTAATCTCAGACTTGCCTTCCTAGTAAGGACCACCCATGTTACCCCAGCCACTAAGCAAATCCTTACCAAGACTTTTCTTCCAGACTTTGTGAAAAAAGCAAATATGGTGTGGAAGATATTTTCTTGTTCTTGAGGGATGATGCAGGGGGTTGGGTTTTTCTGGAAAGAGCAGTTTCCCTTCTCTTGGCCCACCTGAAATGAAGAGAGGCCTGTCAGAGTGATCAGTCTCAAGAGCAGACCCTGAACCAGGAAGCCCTTATTGTAGACAGTAACTGTGGGGCCCAAATTCTCTGGTTTCCTTCTGTTTGTTCTTGTGGAAATGAATGGCTAGCAAGTTAGTTTTTTTTAATTTTTGTTTTTAAAAGATAGGTCCTGTTTTTTTTTTCCAGAGTGGCCTCAAACTCTTGGACTCAAGCAATCCTCTAGTCTCAGGCTCTTGAGCAGCTGGAACCACAGGTATCCTACCATCCCTGGCTCTGGTTGAGAAGTTCTTGTATCGAAATGGGCAAATAATACAAAATGTTCATTTGAAGTCCTTACATAACAGACGAGATGTCACACAACATGCAAATGAAGTGTGATTAGGAAATTTTAAAGACTGAGGGAATAAAACAAACCCTGCACTTCGTGTTTCCAGACACATTTACAAACATCAGAGCAATTATCTCAGAGAGGCTTTGATGCTGTCGGTCTGGATGATAAAAGAGAAACTGGGGTGAAGACAGTTGCCAAAAAACATGCTCAAGCACACACTGGAGCTCAGGACTTCTGACTCCTAAAGGCCGGTAATGGACCTGACACATGGTCCACTGCCAGCACTTTTCAGAGTGTTCTATGGAGCCATGGGGGCTGCCATCCATGGAGGAGCCCTTCTTATAAGAGAAAGGGTACTAAACAGTGCTGTGGTCCTCCTCTGTTCCAACAGAGCACCCGTCACATATGATGCTATTTTAAACGAGGGTTCCCCTACTAAGAAATAAAATGAAAACCAGGACAGCCACGGCACTGAGCCAGATAAGAAATAATATATCCAGTGAGCTCTTGGTGAGATAACTCATTTGGCTTCGGTCAGGAAGGTTGGTTTCTTTAAAAACAATATTCTGACATTTACACTGAAGTTCTGAACAAAACCCTATCATACGAGTTGTAGCTGAAGACTGGGTAAGATGTAAGGTCAGATCCAACAATTAACATTTGGGAGTTCATAATTTGGAATTGTTCTCATTACTAACCACAGTCTCATTACTAACCAGCCATGCACTTAATCTTTCCTAGCTTTAATGCCCTGGAGTAAAATATGGTGCTTCTGAATTTATTCAAGAATTTATCATTTGTGGTAGGGAGTTTAGAGTTTTTACATAAACAGATTCCTAACTTAAGACTGTTCATCTGTTAATAATGAACTATAAGACGAGACCACCAGAATTTGCTACATTAATCTCTATTTTATCTTTGGTCTGAATAGATTCTAGAATTTACTACATATGCTTGAACATAAATAAGATGAAGTTTTATGTTCCCAACTGTTACAAAAGGGACTGTTGCCTTTAAAACTATCTCATAGTTTGGGACTTGTCCTTTCAATGCTCTCATACTTTGGGATACTCTGAATTGCTTTCTTTGAATTACAATACTTGGGGAAGACACACAGCCTGAAAAGGTCTCAATTAACACTAGTTTTGGACAATTTTAGAGGTAACAAGAGGGAGTAATAGAAAAGTAACAAGCTTACAGCAGATTTTCTGACTGTTTTGGGGTATAATTATGAAACGTTATAATAAATATTTTGAAGCTCATTTTAGAAAGCAATGTATATGTTACTTCTGTGGTAAGGATCATGAATATTCACTTAAACAAATGCAGAAAACAACTGCTACAATGTCATAAAATTGGTATGTGTGGGCTGCAATAAAATTTCAGCATCAAATATGAATTGAAAAGATTCTGCATTTTGAATAAATGTGAAAAACTGAAAAGTTCACATCCTGGAAAAGTGCCGACTAAAAAAAGTGGTTTAGTAATAATATACATTGATCTCAGAAGATGCATATTTGAATTGTGAAATGTGAATAGAAAAAATATTATACATAAATGTATTGTTCTTATATGTTTTTAAGTGTGCAGTCACATAATTAATTTAAATATTATGTGTAGATAACTTACTACTCATTTCCCTAACTTTGATTGAAATAAAATTTACATTCTGCATGGTGCAGTGATCTTAAGGGTACAGTATGATGAATTCTAACATACAAGATCACCCCATAATCACCACCCTAGTGAAAGTACAGAAAATGCCCTCCAGCTTGAATGCAGTCTATTCTTGCCCCTTACTCACAAGCAGCCACAGTTCTGATTTCTATTAAGTTGGCAAAGAAGGAAAGAAGGAAAAGAACGAAAGAAGGCAAGCAGGAGGGGAAAGAAAAGAGAAGAAAAAAAAGGTTAAATTTATTTCACTGGAGAAGTAAAGTGGAGGTTGTATTAACTGGAAGCTGACCTACACTTGGGCAAGTACAGAACGTGGTAGACAGAAAGCCCTGCTGTCACAGGGCATCTGAGAATCTGGGTGAGTGTGGTCACGCTCTTAATCCCCATCATCTTTCTCTTTGCACCACGAGGGGCTCCACTTTGCTTATGTGTCCTCACGATGTACAGGTGCTAGCAGCTCATGGAAGATGGTCTTCTACAGCCCTCGGCATGCACACCCCTGTGACCAGACCTGGCTGCCCAATGCATATGGTCTGGATCTAGAGAAACAGAACTCTGAGTCTTGCAGAAAGCATCCATCCCTAGTTAAAATCAGAGACAGGGCAGAGATCCTCCTTGCTCTGCGCCAGGGACTTCTAGGCAGGGAGAGGAAGTGAAGCCTCAATCTAGCCAGCTTTATATATGTTGAGTATGAGGACCTGGTGCTGTTACCATACCACAGATGTCAGCAAAGAAGGGCAGTGGGCTAAAAGTGGCTGGGACAGAGGGATAAGATATAGCTAAACCTCAGTGTCAAATCCAGAGGTACATGGAGGGCCCGGAAGTTCATCTTCCTCTTCTAGGGAGAGTTCTTGGGGTGGCCCATGGACAGGGAAGTGATGATGGAGTGATGTGGTAACACATGACACTTAAGCCTCTCCCCCCAGCAGGATCTAGAAGAGAAGTTGAAACGGAGTCTGTAGCAAATGAAAATCTGAGCCTGACTGTGGTTACCCAGGCATCATTTAATTGCGGAAAATGTTTCTCTGGGAGGTTCAGGGTGGGCTCATTTCAAAGGGAGCCTGAAGGTTGCTGGGGACTGCATGGATCTGAGTCAGACCAGCTAGAATCCAGAAACTCAGGCCCTGGCCAGGGTCATCAAAGGGAGTTACTCTTCTGTCCGTTGAGTAGATACAAGATCGTCATGATAGCACCAGACAATCCTATGCCCTTCCTGTATGCCAGCTCTGAGTGTTTTCCACATACTAACCCTCGGTCCTCACTATATCCCCAAGCAGCAGACATCATTCCCATCCTTATTTTACAAATGGAGAAATTGGGAGGCAAGGAGAGGCAATGACAAACAGACGTCCCCAGCTAGGAGACTGTAGAACTGGATTGGGACATATTTTGCTTGGCCTCAAAGATCTGCATATTACCATGTTCTTGCACTGGCTCTTGAGTATGGATGCTGTAGCTAGAGTCAGAGAAAAGCAGAGGCAAAGAGAAATCATTCCTTTCTGTTCATAACTGGGCCAATGGGAAGGAAGAAACAACCACCCTCAAAGTCTGGGAACCTGCATGCCCTCCAACTTGAACCAACTTTGACATTGTCTCACACATACACACACAGACACACAGACACACAGACACACAGACACACACACACACACACACACACACAACTCCTGTCTAGTTTTTGGGAGGTCACAGGCACTGTGGCCTGGGAGGTGACACTGCTCTGGCTGATTTGTAGGCTGGAAAGGAAGCACAGCATCCTGGAATGTTGTTTCTGGAAGACGGCTCCAAGATCATGGAATCCTTGGGGTTCAACAGACTGATAAGGAACCAGAGGGCCCAAGTTCAGTGACTTGTCCACTGTCAAGTGGTTGGATGTTAGCAGCATCTGGAATCCAGTAAAGGAATTCTGTGGCATAGATGTTCTTGGTAAACACTCAACAACCCCTGGCCATAACCTTACTCTGCTGCCTGACAGTTGTGCCAGTTTGGGTCTCCAGAGCCTCAGAATCCTCATCCATCAAATTAGGATGCTGGCCTAAATGGTGATTCTCAGACACTAGTTCCACACTTCCAAGACTGTGGATTTTCTTTGGAACATCGAGTTCCTAATCTCATATTGCCCAGACAAAGAACTGCTGCCAACGTACCCCCCGAAACTTTGTTCTAATCATCTTCCTCTCTCAAAAGCAAGAAGAAGTAATGCTTTTTTGGTGCACTGCAGACAATGCAAACACCATCCAGCTACTGTCCAACAGTTTGGGCAGGCTGAGACTGTGGCCATTGCTCCGGCTCACTCACCACTCACTTCTTATGTGTTTCCCAGACTGAATCTAAATACTTCCCATGACATGGCTGCTTATCTTTCAGGACCCCTGGGGACTGGAAAAGGTCCATGGCACTTGGAATGCAAGCATGACAAGACGATGCATAACAGTCAAGGGTAAATTCTGCCAAAGCAGCCATTGAGGGTTTTTTTGTTGATGTTGGAATCTGGTCTCCTCCTACTGTGACCCCAAAGAAAACATTGTGCAAGTTAAACCAAGAGATGGTGGTGATTCAGGAAACTGTCAGGAGCCTTGGTGGTGAGGGCACAAGGAGACTATGGATATCACTTGGTAGCATCTGGGACAACCTCGGTCAGGAAAGACTTCATAATCAGAAGCTGCCAAGATTTCAGGTCTGGGAAAAGATGTTTATATTTACTCTAGGCGGTTTTCATTCATGAAACAGTGATTGTTGAAGCATGAATTGGGGTTCACACCCTGGGCATGATGCTGACAAAAGCAGCTATTCCTCTGTTTAATGTTACTATCATCTGTCTAAAGGTGGAAAAGGAAAACTTAGAGCGTTTACAAATTCTAAGGTCCATGGTGGTTAGAAAAAGGGTTTGGTGGAATCGGGGCACGTCCATGTGATAGGCTCAGAAGAATATCGCCATTAAGAACTTATAATGAGTTGTTTGGGAGGGAGGCAGAGACAGATAG